GGTCGTCGCCATCATCCCCTACCCGGGAAATATCGGATTTTCTGCAGCTGCTGTTTGCACTAATGGGCCACACATGTTGTGACACCCGACTTAGTCACTTGGTGTAAGAAAATAAAAGTGGAAAAAAGGTTTGTAAGGATTGTTGGGCACGATATTTGACCCATGAGAGAAGATTGTGATTGCTTGTCTCTAATAGACGCCTTGGCGTATTCGGCTTATTAGCTATGTTTGTGTGTAAAATAATGATTTGTCCCAATCCAATCATCCTGCAAAAATAGTCACACCGCTGGTGATTCCATTGACCAACGAGTTTTTTTTTTTGTATTTTTTTTCTGCACGGTACATTACCGTCAAGGGAGAAGGCCACAAATTGGATAGAGCTTGACACAATGAGCCTTCAACAACAGCGAGTTGGTCAATGTTTCCCGTGCTAACTGGGCAAAAAAAGGCGCCCTTGTGCATTCTTGAAAGTATTTATATCCGACTGGTGACACTAATGACTCCTGTTAACGGCGTCCGTGTGTTGAGTTGCCCTTTTAGCCCTACTAGCTCATGGCATTTTCTACTCCCATCCTCTACCTGTGGAGGCAACATTTTTCTATGGTCTTTTTTTTTTTTTTTTTTTGTAAGTGCATATGAATGGATGCGCCAATACATGCAGACAGTAGAGCATGAAACTCCATTGCGCAAAACTTGATCACAGCTCACTGCTAATACAAAGGATGTGCTTTTGACAATATTTTCTTGATGGACAAAAGCAGAAAATGATTGATCTTGAATCTTTTTTAAAGCCCTTTTTTTTTTTAATGGACTGTGACATTTGTCCATCGGGATTAAGAGCATAAAGTAGGAAATGATAGTCCAGTTTGTGGACAGGTCTTTGTCCCGTTCTTCACAAAAGACTTGAAATAGCCCGGTTGCAATAATTTTGATTTAGTCATCAAAGTCAGGTTCAGTTAAAGGATAGACAAAAAGCAAGCGGTTTTATTGAAATACCTTTGGTCTATTTCATGTATGCCTTTCTTGGGGGTTGTTCAAATTGTCTTCTATGTTTGATGTGTTCAGTGACATGAGTCAAAACTGTGATGATGCCGAGATGCTTGCAGAATCACAGCAGGGGAAGATGACACCATTATTTGCAAAAGCAAAACAAAGGCGCTCCCGCAGTTTCTTTCCCTACATTTTTTTTTCTTTTTTTATCACGCTTTGAACATCTCTCTTGCCATCCAGCCACATATTCTTTGAATGATCACGTTCCTTGGCATGAGAGTGCTATGTAATTAAGTCGGAGGAAGCTGTGCGCTTGCAACGTGCCTCGTCGCCCTGCCTCCCTTCTGTGGATGATTACTGCCATCTTCGGGGCAAAGCGAAACCTGAGTAGCATCACGGCAGGGAGGGAGAGAGATGTTCCTGCCTCACGGGAAGTCAGCAATAATCAAATCCCAGCGCCTTTCCTTCGGAATCAAAAGTCATCTTTTAAACGGATGTCTTCAACAAAAGGAAAACCAAAGCAAAGGTGAGAGTCTTTCACTTGTCTTGTGAACCCCTCCTGGAGCAACCAGGGGGGGTTCAGCAATGTTGCTCAAACACATGACCAGATCAAAAATTCCAAACACTATTTTGGAGAAAGTCCTCAGAGATCACAGGAAAATTTTAGGGATGTCCCGATACTACTTTTTCTGTCCAAGGATTAACGCTTGATAATGCCACTACGTTTTGCATAATGAAAATGAAAATATTACAGGCATAGTACTGGTATTGGAGCCCACCAACCAAATTCCGTACACAAATCAACGGGTAAATAAAATTTGGTGTCTGTATTTTGAATCCTGGATTAGATTTCTGACAGGGTTATTTGAAGCGTTGTGGAGGTTGGGGAATTTCAGAACACGTTGGAATCTTTTTATAGTAGCGTAGAAAACCTGTCCATTCGTTTACAGAGACGGGGGGCCCCAGCACACCCGCAACGATGTATGGATGGTTGGATGGCAGCTTGATCACAAATAAACTGGAGAGTTTTCTCTCTGCGTCTCCCAACGCGACTTTAATTAATACTTTGCAGCTCCACAGTAATCATCCGTTGTGAAAAGATTCGTTCTCCGGAGGCAGGTGTACGGGTATCGCTCTAATTGTGTGTAGCAGGTAGCTTATAAAGACTAATTATACACAGAAGCAACATCGAAAGACTTTTATCTTGAAAGCGTTATGTAAAACTCTAATTACTGATAATGTGGATGTAATTGCGTTCTGCTTGGTGAAATTGATTTTAAATAAAGATTCAGAAAATGAAGCTGCATGACGGAAATGGGGCTCAGCATGTCATGTTTTTAGCCTGCGGTTTTCGATGCTTATCCTGTTCAGGTAGTCTTCAGGAAACGGATCGGGGCCCAGTTCGGACCTAGACTCTTGTCAGCTCGTCACGCTCGTACCTCCGCCATTGTCCCCATCAAAGCAGTGGGTGATGGTTTTGCCACCCTCCCTGCCGGCTTTGATGTTCTCGCTCTCGTCTGCAACGCTCCATCAATCACACTTGGTTCCGCGCACCATCCGCCGCCCCCTCTGAATTCATCATCTTGACCCGCAACGTTTACTGCAGTCTGTATGTCCGCTCTGGACTTTTGTCTGACTCTTCAGTAACAAAGTAGCTCCATTGTCTGCTGTGACTTTGGAGACTTCTTGAGTACCAGAGTATCTGCAGGGTTAAGCACCACCAAAGACTTCCAAAAAAAATCTTTTTTAATGCAACTTTTTTTTTTTTTTATATGACGACAGTAGTCTGTGTTAGTCAGAACACCGTGTATCATCTGTGCAATCTCTCCTCTTTCTTTTGAGCACTAGAAGGACAAGTCTTGGCGTGTCCCACTGTTTATGATAGCAATATAGAAAATGTTGCCAAAACAATACTATGCACAGAGCTCTTAGAATAATGGTTCAATGTCTTTGAACAAAGCTACGTCAGGCAGCTAAATTATCTTGACAAAGGGCCAACTTTTACTGCAGCAAACAGCTTTATTGTGAAATATATGATAACATGGGGTTTTATCCTAAGTGTTATGGGAACTGAGCTGTGCTAAATGCGCCCGTCTGTTGTACAACGTCTGATGCAAAGAATTTGAGTGAAATTGGTAGAGTCACGACAGGCTTTTTAAATTCTAGTCACATATGGGTTGTTATGCCTCTGCTTACTCAGGTCAGCTTTTTACGTAACTCATCCTGAGTGGGAGAGAGGGATAAAGGACAAAGGCTAGCATTTGTATACTGTATTTTTAAAATAAATACATTACCCCACCCGTCTCCTCCATATATTTTTAGCCTACCCTGCCGTAAATCACACAATAAAAGGAATCAGTTCTGAGATCTTGCTGGGGAGGAGCTTTGTTTAGCCTGGGTTGTTAGCGGAAGATATGACAGATTTTGCTGGTCTCAGGGTCTATTAAAAAGTTCAGCCTAACCAATGACGGAGGTCTCGCCATATCATCGTTTATAATATATTTCATTTTTCAAAATTTAATTGCCGTTTCTAAACATTTTGGGCAAGGGTCGGGGTCGTCAATTACTCTCGGTCTTGTGTTATTCACCACATGGCTTTGTCCCGATCCCCCCAAAAATCGCAGATTGTGTTTACTGTACTGCTATTGGCCGGACAACCAGTCCAGGGGGGTACACCATCTGTGATGCACATTTGGAAACATGCAACAAAAAAGAAAAATGGATGGCTGGATCCATAAGTGTTTTTGTTTTGTTTTGTTGTTCCCTGTAACTCAGGAGACATCTGACTACCCTCCCATCCATCCGTTGATTTATCAGAATCTACTGCCCCCTGTCTGCTGCCACCACAATTTCACCATCAACAGACTCGCCCTACCCCCTCCTGCTGCCCTATGGCACTCAGTCTGTCTGCTCTGGCTTGCTGCCCCCCCCCCCCCAAAATATGTTTACAAACCATCAGGGCCCAAAGGGTGTCAGTGAAAAGCTGATTTAAACCCACCGAGCACTTGTGATCCATTAAGAGACCACATGCTTGTTGTTTGTGCAACTCCCCCTTCACCTGAGTCACATAGAAAAAAAAAGACACTAAAAAAAGTGCAATTTAATCGCACGGCTTTTAGACAAATGAAAGGGTTTTTTTCCCTCTTTTGACGAAGGAGGGGTGAACGTCAATGTCAATTCCACAGAGGCCTGACGGTGTGCTGCCTCGACCGGTCGAGGCAGAGAATTAGAATATATTCCAGGTCTGAGGCAAGTGGTGCATTGCTGCAACTCCTATCTTGGGGAAAGAGGGAGTTTAGAGGGCGTGTGGGTGAATTTATGGGACGGGGGTGTGCGCGTACGTGGGAGGGCTTCTGCAGAGAGCTGTTGCTAGGAAACACTTGTAGCATCTCGTCTCCTCTTTTCTTGAAATGCCACACATCTCACTGAAATGTCAGTCTCATCCACTCAGGAGCTTGAAGAATGTATGCCGAGTTTCTATTTAAGCATCCTCGCATCAAAAGGACTCCCATGGAGAATTACCGCAAGGCTTTCTTGTGCAAACACAACGACTCGCGATTCATCTCTCGATCTGGCTGAATGGCTTTTCTTTTTCTTTTCTTCGTCTTTCATCTGAGATGTTTACACCCTCCTTGTCCTCTCACATTTAAGAGCCACTAACCTTTCTTTCTACATCGTTTATTCGTCCGCTCCCCGACTCCCTCTTGTTTTCTAATTGAAAGCCATCTGGTCCACCTTGATACTCCGCTGCCCGGATATTTGATTACCAAATGTGTCTGATGACTTTCTACCAAAGTGTCCTCATTGTCATTCAGACAGAAGCAAAAAAAATAAATAAATAAAAATAAAAAATGCATCACGAAGCACCTCAAAAGTCACACATTTGCTGCAAGCCCTAAAGCGGAATTCATGTTTTGAGTCACAATTCGAAGAAAATGGGACAACAATATATTTTCACAAGTTATTGTTATATTTTATCGTGCAATGAAAAAGAAACAGCCACGTGAAATTTCTGCATTGTAATTTACTGCAATGCGCTGTCTTGAAATACGAGCTTTGAGAGAAGATATATCCCATAGCGCTAATGTGACAGAGCATTTTTTTTTTTTAACTATTCAGCAAAAACAGGCTAAGGTGGCCCTAAACTCGTCCCACAGTAAATAGAAGAGAATTTTACACTTTGACTGCAGGCTCGGAGCCGTTTTCAGTAAAACATCGACAACTCAATAAACGGCCCTTTTTCGAGCAACTAAGCAAGTGCCTTTACCGTCGGCCAGTATCAATATTGACAGAGGGGGAATGTCTTGTGGTCCAGGTCTGCAGCCTCCACGGAAGCCATTTTTTTTTTCCCCAAACAGTTCCTGCTTTGTCTTTTAACCTCCTCCGTCTGCAACACTGCAACTTCGCCGTAGGACGGGTATGTATAACGCCAATATATCTCGCCTTTAAGCTAAAGCAGATTTATAAGACTGGATATCGAAATGAGATAAACTGCTACATAAACGTTTGGGTTTTTTTTTTATATATATAAATGCCACTTCTGTATTGGTCTCACGCTCATTCAAGTAACTGCATGGAATAATTCTGTTGTTTTTCTCTTTGTGATACAGATTCTATTTTCTTTTAAATCTGGAAATGCTGCTTGGATTCCATCTCGCTGGGACTACTCTACTGCTATGTTGTAAGTAGGATCTATGTCAAGTGTACATATTACGTGGGCAGCTGATCATATGCATCACAGCACATGAAATACTGAAATGCCCCTTGTGTGTGTATGGAATTATATTTTAAGTTGAGCAGACGCAGGTGTAAAGTCCACATGCGACACATTTAACAGTGGGCATGAATAATCTCGATCTGAGGAATAACCAATGGAGAAAAATATCGGTTTGCCCACAGAGGTCACCATGATCTCATCTCTATTAAGACTCATGCAAATACAAACCTTGGGGGACTTTGGGTCTGTGGCTCGAATGACTGTGTGCCAGTGCCTGCAGGGAAGACATTTAAAGCATGATTGAATGCTTAATGCATCATTAAATGGTTGCATCTAAGCTTAAGGCACACGCTGACTCCGAAGATCTGCGGAGTGACGTGAAAATGAGACTTGTTAGCAGATGAAATGAGTCATGCCGCACTGTGGACGCAATTGTGCCTCGCAGTGGCAACGGCACACGATGTTGGAAGGGGGTTGACATGCCGGTCGATCGGACCTGTGAATTTTCCGCTACAGGTACAAAAGGTGTAGCATTCCAGAAATATGGTGGCGTCATCATGTTGCTTGGCTACGTTCGTTGGGCTCAGTCACATCTACTAGGCTGTACAGACTCGCAAAATCACAGGTCCAACAAAGACATTCATTTGAAATGCTTGCGGGTAGAAAACACATATAAGGTACTGACCGTGCATCTAAACCATCAACGATGTGTACTAAAACAACCACGTTCAAATAATAAGGTCCGTTATTAGTTCATTTGAGAATTGTCATCAGTATTATAGTGATATTAGTGATATTACAAACACAAAAATGAAGTACCAAGACCGTGCATGACAATACGGTCAATTGAATACATAATGTCCCTCGGGTTAATACCCACGGTGATAGTTTAATCCCAAAAAGCTCAAGAAACACGTGATTTCTCACTGCTCTGCGTTGAATATAATGTGCGCTTTGGAAGGACAGAAAAGAAGCACCATCTGGTCCCCCAAAGTATTGAATTTTTCACCATGTCTTGTAATAAATAACAATTAAAGCACTTAGACCAGCCCTGTGTTGATTAAGACGTCTGTGAAATAGTTGAGTATCGACCAGTCTCCGAGTAGAAACCATCACAAGCGGCATCCACCTCACAAATCGTGATTTAGTACCAGCATTCCCTACAAGTCCGAGACTTTCTTTGCAAAACGCTGCCCTCTGTCAGTTCAGTCCACGTAGCCATTTTCCGACTGGCCGGTAGTCATTAGAAGTCTTCCGGAGATAAGCAGGTTTGTTCTATCACAGGGCCCTGCGTGTGTTCTTTTTACAGGCCTGCGCCATTGAAATATTTTCCATGGCACTGCGGGTTAATGGAGTTAATGAAGAGCAAAGTCGCGTGTCTGAGCCGGGTAATTAGTATATGTCAGACTGAAGACACTCTGTGAATAACTGAATTAGCGGTCGGCCTGCACGTCCGCGCGCATGCGATTCTTCAACAAGTGCGAGAGGAGCTGCAGGAAGAGACTCAAAGTCACGAGAAGGTGATTCCATCAATTGAGTCGTAAGACTTCATCCGAACTTTTGTTTTCCCTCAAGTTGTTTCATTCGAAGCCGTTTGAGATTGTCCACAGAATGTTCTATTAAGTTCACTTTGATAACGTCCCAAAGCAATCTGCAACTCTGCCTCAGATACTGATCGTTCGCATCAGGCGGTTTTAAAGAAGAGTGATTTAGCTCTGACTCTTTTCTTATCGGGGAGGTTGTGTTCATTTTCCCAGAAGTTTATACCGATGAAACTCCCGGCCAAGCATTCCGAAGGGCGACTGTCTTGCTAATCCTCATTCTAACTTCGCCTTTCATATCTCCAGATGTCCTGTTAAGTTGTGCTTCAGAACATGACAAGAGGAAAGGTGTAATAATTCAAAGCCCTTCCAAAAACGCTGACGGCGCCATTTCGGTGATGAGAAATGACGCAAAAGCAGACGACGGGAGACCCAGAGCTGTCGCCCGAAGGAGGAAGGTCAAAAAGGCAGGAAGTCGAAGAACAAATGACACCGGCTGCACCAGACTGGGGGGCATCTGCCAGCCGAACCGATTCGTCTGCCAAGGTCGATACCTGACAGACAAATGTTCAGGGCCCAAAACGCGGCTGTGTTGTATGCCAGGTAAGGGTGGTAGCGCATGAATGCAGTCCATTGCAGCCAAGACTCGGGAACATAGCCCCACTGTAAGGTGTTGGTGTTAGTCCTTTCACAGGCTAACATATTTTGGTGTCCCATTTGAATAAGCCGCCAACCGTCCGAAGACTGCTGGGATAGGCTCCAGCACGCCCACGACCCTTGTGAGGATAAAGCGGATTAGAAAATGGATGAATGGATTTTCAGTCTCTACTTTGGTTGCAATTTCCAACCCACTTTACTGAAATTTTATATATCTAACACAAGATTTGTGATGGATTCCAATGATCCAAGTTACAAAGCAAATTGAGTTTTCCGTTATGGTTCAGCAAAGCTATTCTCCCCGAAATAGATTCAAGACGTTTCAGGGTTACGTTTTCGTCAGTGCAGTTTGTGGCACAGTTGATGCCTGGGAAGTTTGTCATGGAGGGCGTGATGGTCGTGGATGCAGGGAGGCAGGCGAACATTGGAAAAACCAAATCCAAAACACAAAGTCCTGAAAACGGCAAGAAACCAAAGCAACGACAAACTAAAAACCAAGACAGAAGGACAAAATAACGTGTCAGCAACAACAATCCGACACAGACTGACCGAAGCCAGGGAACTAAATCCAAGCAGACTGATGAGAGAACAAAGAACACCTGGACAAGACACAAAGAACGTATTTATACGAAAACTTCCTTGACTCTGAACTGTCTCTGAAGGAACGAGTGGGGGCGGGGCTCGGTGACTACATCACGCAAATAACACAACAGTAATATTATTTGTGAACTGCCTCCTTAGTGGGAGCTTGGAGTGTCCTGTGCGCTGGCCACTACAACAACAGAGTGAGGAGCTGCGATATGCACGGCTGTGGAACTTTCAACTCCAGGGGGTGATTTGCTCAACTGTCATTTTGAAACTCAAAAGGGATTTTTTTTCATGCTGAATTTCGAGCGTGATCAACTCTCTGAAACTATCCTGAGGCGCCTCTCGCTCAATCCGTCATCGGAGAGTTATGAGGTACTTTATCAGGACAAGAGCGCCATATCGCAGAAACTGAAAAGCAATTGCCATGTACCTTTGGACGTACACTATATCATAATGGATAAGTGGCCCGTCTCCAAGGTCTCCGTCAGTGAGCTTCGAGTACCTCGCACATAAAACGTGAAGTTGCAAAATTCATCAAATAGAATAAAACTTTGAACCTGACAAGCCATTTGGGGGCTGCTTAACAACACTAAGTACTTTTATGTCATGTCACGCAATTCCATGTTAGGCCTTCTCTGACAATAAACTCAAGTGGAACTCTTTTTATAAGATATGATTAGTGATTGTCCATTCAAGATAAACTCATGTCAGCGTTTTTTTTTTTCTCCTTCCTCTCATAGAGGCCTAAATAGGACAGTGGACTTGGTGTGTGCTGATTACGCTGCAATCAGCGCTCCATTCTCAGGCTCTTTGGCCGGTCCAGTGAGTCAGAAAGATGCAGCTGGTTTCCAGTACGATGGCGTCAAACTCGTCAATGACGGTAGGAGTCACTAAAAACGGATCTTTTTTATTTCAAAGTACGAGGAAAGGTTGTGGATCTACGTTTGGCATCGAAAGTGGACGTTTCAAATGGTCAATGGGATTTTCGATTCAATCGCACATTCACACTCATGGACAGTTTAGAGCCTCGTATCTTTGGGGAATGTGGGAGGAAGCCAACACAAGCATCGAGCAAACATACAAACTCCACACATGAGGGCCTCAGTCTATATGTCGCTGTATTCCTGACAATAATACAATTTCCATATTTAGGATGGTACTCAGTAGCTACACTGCATGCCTCCACCAAGGCTTAAAAATGATCAATGAGTCCTTCTGATTTTTTTTTTTTGAATAATTAACCAACAAAGTGGCTGCCACACAATTTTTTATGTTTTCCTGCAGCTCTCTCAGATGGATTTGGTGGGTCGTTGCCCTATTTGGACACAATAGTGGACCGCAACGTTGAAAATAACCAGTTGGCCAAAAAAATATACATATACCCTGTCATCTTTAAGTAACTCCGAGTAATCTGTCATTTTTTTTTTTTTAGGACTAAAGGACAAAGGTGCCGCTCTGGTATTAATGACGAAACCGTGGGAAGGGGGTTTAGAGATTTAAGAGATTATATTAAGATTCCACTAAACTCTCGGTTGCCTTTAACACCGAGGACCCCCTCTTCATGCAAATAAATCTCCATCAAAGACCAAATGATGACCCCGGCGAGGAACACACACACACACACACACACACACACACACACACACACACACACACACACAAGTAAACACGCATCTGCATGCTTTGCGTGAGCGTATCTCGCGAGCACATCATTAGTGCCGTGGCCCCTAATTGTGCAGCATTAACACAAAAGTCTGGATGTGCACTCAGCCCCTTTCATCTACGACTAAAGTGAAGACATGATTAAACATCACAGAGACGCATTACCTCGGCCTGACACACGCATTAATGCTGAAACTCATCATTAGCAGGCGCAGGTGATGGGGTTGAGTTTACTCCTGGGCTGTTTGGTTTTCCAATGCCATTTGGGAAGATAGCGGTCCTGGCGTTCAGTATGTAGTACGATTATGAGAAAGTGTGAATATGAGAAAAAAAAATCATCTATTTCCTGAGCGAGTTTAAATCCTTAAGATCCTTCGTGAGGACTCTTACAAGAGAATCACCTTCATGCCTTTGCTGTAATTGATAAGAGCGTTGAGGAACATGCTTGTGATGAAAAGCGTCACTACAATATCATCCTCCACTTCATCCCAACTACATCCTCCTCCGACAGCTTTAGTATTGTATTAGAAGGGGGGGCGGGGGGGTACTCATCACTTGATATGCAAGTCACTCTTTCGGCTTATTCAAATAAATTCAAGGGACTGTTTATTTTTCTCTCTCTCCCACCCAGAGCACTGTGTAAAGATCTTTAACATTCGACCTTTCCGTTACACTGGCATGGTGGCTCTGGGGGAGCCCCTGGGTTACGTGCTGCCCTTGCAGGAGCACTTTGCCGGCATCACCTCGCACCTGAAGCTCCAGATGTGTGACGGCACTGACCCTTCACCCTTCATCTGAATGTCCGCGGTGACATTTTCCTCATGCCATTTCCGAATATGTAAATATACAGTATAAAATACAAGAGCAGCATCAAATATACCACCTGTACAGTTTTTAATTTTGGTTGACATTGTCAGAGGGATAATTTTGTAGAGAAATGTTTGTTGTTGTGGTTGATGTTTGCCGGGCTTTAAAAGAACTAAAATAAAAAAATACTGAGAAAGAATTACTTACTGTACATGATAAAACAAAAACTCTCAACGCAAACGCTGTCCCACAACAATCTACAATTAACAAAAATACATTAAAAGAACACCACACTGACTTACCATTGTGAAAGCAGAATATTTGATACAGCTCTTGTACTGAATGTCATTAAACAGTCTCTGCTAGTAGTTAAAATGTTGTGGCCAGTAAACCTTTACATTTTGCAATTAAATCAATCTCCAGCTGTTTTTTTTTTTAAATTAAATTTACAGAATGTATACTACTAGTCTTGCATGTACGTTTCCTCTGCTACAAGTGAATAGACCATTACTGTTCGTGTGACAATATGTTGTGTGACTTTTTTTCAGGCCAAACAGAAATAAACGTTTTATTTCGTCATTTGTATCATTTAATTATTTCCATAAAATGTCATATCTGAGAGTAAAAACTAGAATTCCCGTTTAGATAAAACTATTCCATTTTCTAGAACTGGAGCCTATCCTAATCTTGGGCAAGAGATCGGGTACACCCGATCTAGACTGACTGGAGATTCCACACCAACACTGCCGTCATTCTAACTTTTTAAAATTGAAATTAGAATTCAAAATCAGATATATTTAATGTCTTACAAACATGTACTTACTCTTTCTATATGAATAACTATTACATTTTATCAATATCCTGTACTAAATATTGTCGTGTTTAACATTCTGCACGTTAAAAAAAAAAAAATCTTTTTTTTTCACTAGTTCTGATATTCTTTGCTGCCTCGAACGCGTCATCAGCTCAATTAGGTGAAGTGCCACATGTACAGTAAAAAATGTGATGACCACAAACTGCCGACAGATGGTGCTGTTGTACAAGTCATCAAATCCAAAGTCCTCGTAAGTACAGTAATCGATCTACCACATAAATCAATAATCACTCGAATGAAACGTGAAGATAGATCGATTGATGGATAGATATATAGATAGTGAGATATTTTGCAAACATAACACGTGACGTCATTGGTGGTCTCGAATTTTTCCGATACCCTAAAAGCGCACCATCGAGAAATCATCGTAGTCCTGTCCAGTCTGTCGCGGGGGAGGTTCGAATGTGAAGCTTTTTTTTTTTTCTCCTCGTTTTAGTGGACCGTCCCACTTTAAACCGAAGTGGGCGAGCTGGGATAGGCTGGGAGTGTGCTTGGCTGCCGAGCAAGAGAGAAAGAAAGACAGAAAAGGAAAGGAGCTAACTAGGAAGTCTACAACTTCTCCCAGGCAGCGTGACGTGCGTGGTACGGGAAATAGGACGACTTACCGGAGGAAAAAAAAAAAGACTATTTGGAGGTGCACATCTGGGAGACGCGGATGACTGAGACCCGTCACGGTGCAAACTTTATTTATCGCTCAGATTGATCTTCTTGGAGGCGTCACACCGAGGAGTATATCATGCCGAGGAGGACCGTGCAAGAAGTGACCGTGCAGGATGTCCAAAAACGGAGAAACCCCAGCAAACATTATGTAAGACTCCTCTTAGTTCACTAAAATAAAACGCTAGTGGTTCAATTGTGAAGCACATTAAGGTTTATATGCGGCTTTCTCCTCTTTCCCCTCCCTCACTCCTGTTGACTAAAGTAAAAACAAAGAGAGGATCAAATTACCGCTATCTGCCAGATGCCAGATTTCTAACGGGATTGTTTTTTTAAAGGAACAGACTTTGGCAATTTAGTATGTACCAAACATTATGTTTCAGTGACTATAAAAAAAAAAAAAAACAGTAAAAATGTTGTTAGTACATCTCGTTATAAGATCTGCGTTACATTGCGAAGTTAAGAGTTGCATTCAATTGGACAACTGCATGCCCCCCACCCGCACCCCCAGCAATTTCTCTGCATCTGTAAATCACATGGGGAATAGAATAAGAAAAAAAGTGTACAGTACGACATTCCATATTTTGTTCAATTTCCAGACACTCAAAAATGGAAAAGAAACCATCTTGCAGGAAAAACTTCACTCATCTGCCTCAAATAAGGTCACCGGAATAAAGGAAACAGCTCTTGGCATGACAAAATGCTATTCAGCGAAAACCACAAGAATAAACCTGTTCTGTTCACATCTATGGATGATTTGGAGTCTTCATGCATATTTTTGGAAAAGGGAGGAAGTCAGACTACCTTAGCAAAACTCACACAAAGATCAACATGCAAACTTCACACAGGAAGGCCCGAGCCAAGATTCAAACCCAGAAACGTTTAATTGAGAAGCAGACTTGCCAACTACTATTCCACTGTGCTGCTTTTTTTTTTTGGGCCACAGGAAAAGCAGCCCTGCCAGCCGTTACTCGGCCAAAACCAGACTGGAAGTATTTTCAAAATACTTATTCCATAGGAAATCACGAAAAGTGAAGCAATCCGTTCCAGGTTCACATCATCGTCATTAAAATATGAACTGTGCAGGTGATGGATTTGAGTAAAATGACAACATTGTTAACGGTCATTTGACCATATAGATGTGTAATTGATCATCAATTGTATGCAGTCACCTATTGACCTTCAAGTCTGACCGACTCAAGGTATCACTTGAATGCAACGTTGCAGCGTTGATGCGTATTTCTTTATGATCGTGATTTGCGAAAAAAAGTTGGGATCTCGTGTGGGACAAAAGAATGTCAACAGGACAAAGCCTCATTTCTTAGCACTGCACAATAGAGCCTCCGCAATTCTGCGTGAAGCGAGTGAGGAAGTCATTGAGGCCGTTGCCTGCCAAAGTGCACATGCGTGACATCATGTGAGGCGGCAGGGCCAGCACCGGGCTGCCAAAAGATGCAGCAGGGGTTAGTTCCGAGGCCCTGGTGCGTGATCGTATGTTTGGATGTTTGGGGGAGGACACAGTTGACATATTTTCTCTGCAAATCTGCCGACCGTACACCTTTATAAACGTCAAATATCAGCTTGTCAACTTCAACTGAGCCTTTTAAGCTCACACTCTGCATTTAGAAAGTTCTATACTTGTAGTATATTAAACCAAGTTCAAATGTCATATGGTGTTTTACCGGCTCTTTCCATTGTCATCGTTGACTCCAGTTACCCTTGAAAGAGTGAGCAAGGGCAGGGAAAATCTGGGAGGGAGGCCAGCAGCCGACACCGGGGGGTTTCCAGCCACCGCAATCCTTGAGGGAGGATAATAAAGAACTGGGTCAAGCTTCAGACTTTCGGCCATTAGGCAACTTGCTAACAATATATCTTCAGTTAGTAAGAAGGAGTAATCGGTGCACTTCAAGTTCAGCACTTGATTTCAGAATGTGATGTCATGACTTATTCAGGCCTCCCTTTGTCTTTCAAAAATGGCTTCCTTGTTTCACTTGGGTGGATTTTTTTTTAAAAACTACATTGCCCAAGTCTGGTTTGATCGAAGGATTATGCAGAAACTGTAAATACGCATGAATGTTTTGTGGCATGCCAAGGAAGAATCCATTAAATGGATAACGTGGGGCAGCAACACCGCATTTTATCCTTTTGCCGTTACGGTCAGCGGCTCGGCATTTTCTGCGAGTCAGAAAGCGGTGTGATGAATGTCCATAAAAGAAAAAAAAAGTCAAGGCACCATTATTTATGATGCACCCGCGCCAAAATTCAAATGGTAGTGTCCTGTCTGTGTGTTCCTTACAACATGTGTGATTCTCTGGGAACCAGGAAGTAGCCTTATTCGTAAAAATGAAAAAACAGACATCAAATTGATGGACACACAAATATGATGCTTGAATTTGTTTGTTTGTTTTGTTGTTTGAGTCATGAAACTGTTCCCCGTACTCCAGAAGTGAAATGGTAGAGCCTTTGCCATTGTTTCCCAAAACCTATTTTCAAGGAACCAGGAAATCGCCTGATAATTAACACATGGATGGTGGACACAAATCACAAATTTTGGGGAACTGACTTGGCGGAATCCATTTTCACTGCTTGCTCTTTCTCATTCTTTTAAGGTTTTACTATTCAGGTATTTTTCTCTTACTGTTGTTTAAGTCAAAATGCAACCCATGCCTTCTTCACTTATTCTCAGTTGAACCCGGAAAAAAACGATTGAGTGCTCTGACTTTACGCCATCCTCACTGATGAATGAAGTGGCCCACTAACGGTCTGGAGAAACAAACATGAATGGCTTTTGTTCAACCTTGGTGGCAGTCTGCGCTCTCATGAAAAGCTCCAATTTTAGAAAGTGATGTCACAGTCAAATGTTCTGGATCCCGGCCCGATAATGGCTTCCTTTTTAACAGGAAGTAGGGTCCATGGACCGCGGATGACAACGTGTAATCGCTCAGGATTATCACATTAGAAAATAACAATGGCAACATTTTGAGGGGGGAAAAAAACCAAAATCCGATTTTGCATATAATTTTTTTTTTATATTTAAATATATTTTTTTCTCCTAGGTTTACATCATCAAAGTATCCTGGACCGATGGCAGCACGGAACTCATTTACAGACGCTACAGCAAGTTTTTCGACCTGCAGGTGAGTATGTCCAAATTGTTGGGTCTCGGTATTGCATTTACGATCCATTATAATTTGGTTTCAGTGAAGGATAAGCACTTTTTCATCAGTAATGATAAAATTGTAACGTTCGCTCAATCGCCGCATTCATGACCGGTTATTCGGTATTGCATTTACGATCCATTATAATTTGGTTTCACGTGAAGGATAAGCACTTTTTCATCAGTAATGACAAAATTGTAACGTTCGCTCAATCGCCACACTCATGACCGGTTATTTTTCTGCCCTCGAGGGCACGCAAAAAGGGCCTGTTCAAGTTAAGTGAGTGCAGGGATGGATGTGTAATGACCACAAAAATGTCTGAGTCATTGTCAAACGTCATGCTAGCCGTAAGTGTTTGTTGTGCAAAAGGGGGAATTAGCATCTGGAGTTTCCTTTCCTCTTTTCGTGGTCGGAGATCTATTGCGAGGACTCGCCGAGATGCAGGAAGACGACTGTACACACACAATACGTGACTAACCTTAATTGGATTACAGGGCTTTTCGCTTGATTAAGTTCCGTCAGAAACATGAGCGGCTACATGGCTCCGATACTAAAATGACAGCTCGTTGAATGTGAAATGTTGAGGCGCATTGTACTGCACATTTGCTAAATTGGCTTGATTGATGATGGGGAACGTTAACAATCGTGTCATCGTTTTTAATTACTTTTGACGGGATGGAATACTCGCCATCTGAACGCTCTGAACTCTGATGCAAGTACAGCGTCGTGTACAGTTGTCATCCGGAGGATTTGTTCTTGGTAACTAGAGACTAAATCAACACTGAAATGAACTGACAGTATCTCTGAAATGATTATTTGAAAGAGAGCAGCCCGTGTACTGGATCTTATTAGATTGCATGGGGGGTATCGAGTATCTCGGCCGGTGGCTTTTCTTGCCCTCCGCTTGATGAGAGACGAGGGAGTCGTCATGACATCATCAGGCGCCCTCTCATTCAGCCTCATGACACGGAACGTAGTCATTCGTCTCCTCTTATTGCTCGCTTTTAATTTCCCGTCAGGCTCTTTGCGATCACATCCTGACACTTTACGGTCAGTTCGGCCATCGCCACGTAGACTTTAATATAACAAGAGGGGAACACATATTCTAAAGAAACACGAGTCAGTAGCTCAAGGCCAAACAGGAAGTGTTAGTCACCACTTAGCGTCAACACAGCTGGACCAAGCAGCTGATGTTCCGACACGAGCGGCATGAGATGCCGGCGTGACCTTGAACAATGCGGGACGCATCGTTGTGCTTTCTTACCCGTCGCTTGCTTCCTCTGGTCCAAAACAGCCGGAATCCCGGTCCGTGTCTCCCCATTCTGTGACTCCACGTGTGAATTTGGTCTGCAACAGTTTGCTGTGTTCATTTTTTTTCTCCCCTCCTAAAAATAGCACAGTTGCATCACCTTGATTGTTAATTGTTTCAGTCATTAATTATTGACAGTACCTGCATAGATTTATCTTCGACACTGGTCTCCATGGTGACACAATGAGTGTTTACACATAAAACCACTTTTTTTTTTCCTTGAACAGAAAATAGACTGGTTTCTTACCGAAGGATGGAAATATTTCTGCAGCGGGGTCATCATTGCGGTTTTTCAATTAAAAAAAAAAAAAAAAAAAAAATTCTGTTCATGTCACTCAGACCACTTTTCCATGCTGCACACGTGTCCGCTCAGCTGCTAAAACTCCAACAGTCCCTTTTTGGAGACACTTAAAAGCTAACGGAAAGAAAAAAAAAAATCCAATACCTCGCCTCTTGCTTCTTTAAGTATTGCGCAGCTGTCACATATTTTCCATGTGCAGTAATCAAAGTATCAAGACGGTGGGGGGGGGGGCATGTTTTATTTGAGCGATGCGGGGGGTCGCTGCTCGCACCGTGCGTCATCAACACGTTGACCACTTTGAGCTCAGAAAAACGCCCTGCACAGTCGAAGCATCTTCAGGCTCACAAGCTGCAAAGAGAGCAGCCATTGTTGTTCAAAATAATTTTCCACCCAAGGAAAATGATTTTGATGCATCCATTGAACCGATATGACACCCGCTGGTCTGACATATTTTCGAGTCACCTCAGTAAGTCGAGCCCAAGTGCACTCACGAGCCCGTCATCATCCCGCTTGTACAGCATGAATATTTGACATAGGAGGCTCGATGCGACTGGCACTTGCAAGAGAGACTCCGAGCTCCCGGCGGATGCCCTTTTTTTTTTTTTGGTGTGTCTGAGTGGCTCTGATTACAGAGTCGATACAAGGTTGAGAACAGACAAGAGAGCGGCTGGGTGTGGCTGCATTCACGCGTGGGAGTGGTCGCAATGTGTCGGCTGGGAGTTTTGGCTCCCCCCCCCCGTGTTTAATCGCCTTTCACGTCGCCTTTCAGGAAAATTGGCACAGAGGCATAGCATAGGTTGAGCGGGCATTTACTTGGCCTGCTAGCTTGAACATTTTGAAGATGTCGTTAATCGAAAGATCTCATGCAAAAGCAGCGCGCTAAATGAATTTTTGGGGGATTAGAATACTGGATACAAAATTCGTCATTCACTCAGGCCAGGTGTCATTTGATTGTCAGGTTTCACTTTGATCACGTTGTTTAGTTTCCAGTTGCTTTCACCGCTTTGCCAAACGTGCCGCGTGTGTGTCTGCGCCTAAGAATGACGATTCAGCAACTTCTCTCCTCGCAAATTGAGGCTGAGCACGTGTAAATTATAGATGACAATTCTGTTATTAATGTAACAGCTGTGTCAGGTTTTACTCAGCTCTTTTCACCCAAATTTGCATTTTTCTTTTTACTACTTTCTGGAGTAAATAGTTTGAAAACTTTGGCGTGGCTGAACCGTACGATAGCCTGCAAGATGCGCGCGTGTCCTTCAACGTTCAATGCTAATCCAATACTCTATGACAAGAAAATATGTTTCCAGAGTATTCCGTAATGGCCAAAACACTCAACGGTCGCAGTTGCAGCAGCATATGACCGGCCGAGGGGGGGTACAAGGGTTGGTTGGCTGAACCATCTGCTCGGTGCATTCCTAAACATTGGCAGACCGTTCTTTTATTGGCAGAATTCCTTACAGGAACTGCTGATTTGAAATATGTCAAGTCTTCCTTTCCAGCCTTGCTATTCCATTGCACGCATTACAATGTGAAGAATGTAATGACTCTTTACTTCGTTTCAGATGGAGCTGCTGGATAAATTCCCAGTCGAAGGGGGTCAGAAAGACCCCAAGCGAAGGATCATCCCGTTCCTGCCGGGTAAGAGCCCGACCTGGAAAATTTAGCTGACTCACGCTTATCGCGGGCATTTCACAACTCTGCTTTCACCACATTCCAGGTGATCATTCAAATCCACCGTTCACAATCCTTTGATAAGCACAAGAGTTCTCAGTGTGCTCCACCAACATTTTGTTAAGAATTTGGAAGCAAGCCTCGCCCCGCCTAAATCTCCCCTACCGGGGTTGGGCTGGGACTCAGGCGTAGGATTTCTTTGAGGCTACGCATGTCTGGAACTCATTGAGGAGATACACAGAAACACAGATGTTCGACGAACTCGGGAGTCAGTCTGAGAAGGCTAAAAGAGGAGACGGAAAACAGTCGTTTACATACCATCCCCGACTTGAAAAAAAAAAACAGGCCAAGCTTATTTTCTATGGATACCTTTCCACATTTTCATCTGCAGCAATACAGTTACAAACACAAACAGCTGCATTAAAGTCAAAGAGAAAGACCGAGTCAGAAGGCGACATCACAACAAAGCTAGCATTTATTTGTTCGTCCCTCTCAGACAGATTTGACCAAAAACGGGACGTTTCCGTTCCCAACAGTCATTGCGTCTTTGCATTTTTAAAGCATTCGATGCATTACAACATCCGCCTGGAAGAGACAACCGCTGTCAACCCAAACGGGTGTGGACAAAGAGTCTCGGGTCGTAAACAAAGGCACAAAGTCACAAAAAGCTTGTGGGGGTTGACAATTCAAGATGGAATGTGGGCGTGATTCTCCCTGATTCGTAAATTGACTTCATTTTATCTGCCCCAGCACGTTGGGGAGGTCGATTGTCCATCTGTGGGGATAAATATCAAGGGCTTCAACCAGAAAAGTTATCTGGAATTTGCTTCCAACATAAATGATATACAAGTTTGGTGACTCTCGTACAGACTAAGGAAATACAACGTAACTTAAATGATTTTGACTCCTTTCTCCCATAGGATTTGAACGAGATCAATGACGGTTTATCCAGTCATAACCCTTCCCAAGAGGAATTTTGCGGAAAGCTAGCCAACAGGAACCATTTTTGTACTTCCAGCTCGGTCTGTCTCCCTCACCCCAACCACCTCCCTCCCCGGCCTATGGTCACTCCTGCCTCGGAGGGTTTAAAATGATCTGCTTCCTGAATGCCCTGTCACCAAACAAGCTCCGTTCATCTGCTGCACCCTCACACCACTGAGCGCGCAGAGTGGGTTGAGTCACTGCTTCTCTGTTGACTCCGGAGAGTTTTGGAAAGCTGTCATGTCCTCTTTCCTGTGTATGAGGAGGTGGCGAGGAGAGAGGAGGAAGGGGACTCTTGTCTTTTGTGACCTTCACTAAAAAATATGGATAATCGACACTTCAATGTCGGTTGTTGTGACGATTGTGCAAAATGTGCGCGTTAGCTTGCGCATGTGTTTCACATTCACAAGACGGCAAATCACGTACGGTGGATGCGTATACAAAGGCATCCAGAAATGGTTCACAAGAAATGTTGTGGTTTGTGGAGCACTGCTATAAGAAGCAGACTGTTCTTTGTATCCCCACAAGCTCGGAATCGAGGTAACGCGTCCTGTGTCTCTTTGCTCTCAGGATCTTGTTCCAGCATTGACTTCCTGTGTCAAGTCAGAGAAAGCAACAAAAGCTGAAAGTCAGATAGATTGGAGAATGTTTTGGAGTTTTTTTTTTAGAGGTCTATTTTGAGCCATCTTGTCTGTTGGTGCCTGTAGTTAGTGCGACGGGGATAAGAGCAGGGGTGTCTCAGCCGAGATGTGACAACATAATCTGTGCTGCCAATATCGTTTTTCCAAAGATTTAGAGGTTGTGCTTTTTCAGAAAAGTGGAAACAAAACTCATCTTAAACTGTGAGTACATTTACGAAAAAGTCTTTCTTGCTTTGCTTCAGGGAAGATCCTGTTCCGGAGAAGCCATATCCGAGATGTGGCCATGAAAAGGCTAAGGCCCATCAATGAGTACTGCAGGGTGAGTCTAAAGACTGGAACAGGACATGTCCATGCTTGTTTTGTGACCTGTTTTTTTTTTCTTTGCTATTGTGAAATGATATATTGATAAACAAGGCGCATATTTCCCTAGCCACCAAAGAACTCCACAAATCTTGTTAAGCCTCACAAACAAAGTGTTATCTTACAGACGAGCAACATCTGTCCATCGCTTAACTCCCGAGATAAGGCCCGAGACAAGCGGTACACCTCTTTGACTGACTGCATATGGAGCCAAAATCAAGAATCCACCTCAGGCTCATTCCTAACTCGCTTGTGCTTTTACCAACGAGATGAATCGCCTCCCAAAGTGGAGGGGATGGAGTATAGAGCGCCCGCTTAGGCGCCGCTGTCGCAGAACTGCGGTCATAAACACGCCGATAGCTCGTGTCTAATTGCTGCTTTTTGAGCCAAAGGAAAACATTAAGCTCGCTGCTAACACTTTTCTGATTTACTATCCCGTACGCTACATGTGTCGGCTTTGCCGCTTCAAGGAAGGTTTTCAAAATTGCACAGATTCAAAGAGAGGAGTGTTTGACAAAATTGTTTTTGGGTTGGTCTGGTTCAAAATTTTTGAAGTTATGCCAAGCGTATGACATTCAAGCATGCCCTTAGATGCATAAAATGGTGACAGTATAATCACTAAGATTCCGTGAGAACTCAGTTGTTCAGCCAACTTTTTAATCGAAAGGTCTAAATAAACGACAGTTTTGTCCATATAGTGCGTCTCTCATCGGGGAGCCACACCCCAAGGCCAAAAGTTTGGCGGTTGCTGAGCTGGCTCTCGTCAGCAAAAATTTTGTTTTTCTTACATTGTACAAATTTGCTTAAACTATTCCCCCCCCCCTTCCTTTATCCTCTCTGAGGGTGGAGGATGTTTTTTTCTTTTTTTACATTCACATTTAAATGTGCCATCTTGGCTCGGTGGAGGTTTTTATTTCGTTGTTGTTTTTCCTGTGGGTAATTATGGGAAGAGCTGAAACCCTTTTAACTCTGTGACTCAAACTGAAGTCAGCGTAGCTCGTGAAAATGTTGGAAAAGCGGTACTGATTTCATTTCAAGATGCCGCAGCTTTTGCTTTCGGAATCAATTCAGATGTTGACAGTCAGAACAAGGAAGGACAGGTTGGACTGACATAACAAGTCTGAATTTGAATGACAAAACTCCCAAAATGTTTTTCAGCCAGTCTTTAAAATTTTTCTTGACTTCATGTTGATGCTTGAGAAGAGCTGAGGCAAGCGTTTTTTTTTTGTTTGTTTTTTGGACAGCTGAAGCTTTAGCCTACTCAGAAGGAATTCCCCTGGTTTGTTAGTCTTATGTTTTTATTTAAGACAGGAAAACCCATACACGCTTGCCGTTTTTTTTTCTTTTTTTTTTTGCATACATCAACATCTAAAGTGCTGAGTTTGGATGACTGTCTCAGTCACACACGGCATGATACCATGTGAGTTCTAAATCAAGCTTGCAAGGAAAACAGCATGATGATGTAATAGCTCAAGTTGAAGCACAACAGGACGACCCGTCGAGCAATACAATTACGGGACGCTGTTCCCGAGTCTTCCCTTTTAAATCATTTCAGAGTTCTGCTGTTGATAATTCCAAATGACAAATATAATATTTTATCTATAAATTTGAACAGCCATAAACGTTGTGCCTCCATTCCAGTCCTTGATGACAAGATGGTTGACAACTGCCAAATGACCGAAGGACAAAATACGTATAAAAAAAAGTGATAAATCCTATTTAAAAATCTGCTTTTTTTTCACCTTAGTATGTAATTTACAATAATGTTGTGTCCTGTTTTTTTAATTAAAAAAAAAAAAACTCGCGAGGGACATGGTTTTTATTGGATGGTATCGCATAAACGTCCTACCTTATGCTGAGGTCATGAATTCTGTGAATGCACGAGTAGGTCTTATTCTCATTCTATTTGTCCTTTGCAAAAACACACACACACACACACACACACACACACACACACACACACACACACACACACACAACTGCACAATTATCTTAATGCTGCCCGCTGTAAAGAACACCCGTGAAGTCTATTTGCGATAATATATGCCTGCTGCTCTCCTTGTGTCATCCCCGGGGAGCATGGTAATGAGAGGACGGGCCACCGGCTGACACAAGGCCAGATAAATCCGAGAAGATGACAGTTCGCATTGCACTTTGACCTCATGAACTGTGCATTGCTCTCCGTCGCAAAGCCAGAGGTAGTCGTGGAGGTCACAAGAAAATCGAGCATTCGGCTCAGGGGCGGGGCGAATGCACTCCGAATGCGCAATGTTGTGTACACTATTAATCTACAAACCTCGGTGTCTATTTTTAACCTGGCGGAAACTGGAAAACGTGGCTCTCCGAATTACCCATGACAAGGCGAAGTGCTACATGGGACAAGGGCACCTTGGTCTGGGAGTCTGGCTTGCATCCAGTAGCTGCCAAGCCTGACGTTCTAGTGACTGCGCTGCCTCAAAGGACAGAAGGGAAACACTTAAGAGTATTAAAAGCCGAGGTAGAGGCCAGCACAGAGTTTGATGGATAGTACTCGGGGTTGCCTGCCAGCTTCAGCAGAAGAGGGCGTCGTCTCGCTCCCACTCAAAGTGACAGCCGGCACAAGGACTTTGACAGGACATGTTCCGTCTCCGGCTTTAAGGGCAGTGCACATTCAAGAGTGACTGTCTGGACCTCTAATTGATTTTCTTGGAAGACACAAGTGGGCAGTTAGAAGAGGCAGACTCCAAAAAGTCTGCGATAATGCGGTGACGTCACAAGACCCAAAATGGCCGTTTGTCTTCAAGTTGTACGGGTCAGTCCGTCGTTTGCAAGTGATCCTGCATGGGGACGCGACAAAGGAGAGGAGATGGAACCATGTCCAACAGAAATCCCTTTTGTCAAATGCGAAGCTACATTGCTTCATCTTTATCAAAAACAGTATGAAGATCAAATGTGCTACACATATTGTATACTGAACATTCAAAAACGGAAAACAAATCAGTCAGATGCATACGCATTTTAAGCTGTCTGTTTATTTCTTATCTTAGTGACTTTACCATCGCTAAACAAACCATTTCAGGTCAAACAACGATATATTTGTCCTCAAGTTTCCCCGCTATCGTGTCCCTCCAGGCCCTCATCCAGCTCCCGGTGTACATCTCACAGTGCGAGGAGGTCAGAGTGTTTTTTGAGACCAGACCCGAAGACCTCAACCCACCCAAAGAGTAAGTAGTGTGCAGCTCTTGAGCAACGCTCCATTTATCTGGCCAATGTCTAGGCGAGGCTAAGACCTCAACCCACCCAAAGAGTAAGTAGTGTGCACGAGGCCGCAGGCATCTCAATTTACCTGCACCCTATGATACCAAGAAGGCGATAGTCGTTGACCGTAGGTCAGTGTCAGTCCGAACGGGGTTCATATTTGTTCAGTTTTGGTCTTCTGTCGGTTCGGTTTTAAATGTTTGATTTGCACAACGGCAGGAGTCCTCGTCTTGAATGCAAATGTGCAACAAGACCGGAGGCGCGGTCACCACACTATTGATCTTGATGTATGGCGTCTGACAGCCAGACCTCTCCGTCTCATCGGCACTCGCGCAGATTTTCTTTTTGTATTCCGTACACGGCGCTCGCTGGTTGCCAAGGACAAATAACTCCCCATGCAAATTCCCGAGCATATGTCGGGGCGAAGCGGGGAAAGAGTGAGGTGGCTGACGATACAGGGAGGACCTTGGTTTGTCTCGACTGAAATTCCGCGAAACCGCTTGGCTTGCGCAAGCGTCATTGGTGGGCCAGCCTGACACACTTTTTGTGAAGACTTGTTTTGACTTTTTGTCAGCCACAGACCGAGATGAAAAAAAAGACCAGGAAGAGGAATGTCTTTTGAATAGGAAGTTCTGCAAGAATAAGGCATAGCAAAAAGTAAAATGACAATGCAAAGGGGTCGTGAAAGAAGCGATATTCCCAGCTTCCTCATAACGCTACAATTGAGTCATCGTCGGTGAGAAACGTTCCGGCACATTAAATGTCTCGCAACCGTGGAGCCAGCTGACTAGAAGTCAGAACCCTACAAAGCCGAGAGTGATCTCATAACGTTTCAGATTTCCACCCAAAATTCTGCGGGGTCAACAAGTTGCGCAGAAATCTAGAAATGAAACCACCCTGAACGTTTTATGCTTACGATGTCGGAAATAGTGAGACCTGAGCGGCTGCAAACAACAGATCGAACAATCTTTTATGAGCCCGCCGACATTCTTGTTGATAACAGGCAAGGCAAACAGCAAAAGGAGTTGCGCAAGAGAGGCAGTGATTTAAAAAGACGGAAAAAGGAAGATGACTGAAGTAAAAGTGTGGGCATTGACTCACACGTTCCCTGCCGCTCTTGAGCAACGCTCGATTTATCTGGCCAATGTCTAGGCGAGGCGTCATCGCATTCAAAACCTTCTACCTTCAACAATTACGCACGGAATACAAATTATTCACCAGTTTCTATCCCTTGCACTATTTCCTGCGTTCTGCTGCCCCAGAGAAAGAACAGGGAAGAGACGGCAGCAATACAATTTGACAAAATTGGATAAAGACAACCACTCCGAAAATATCACTATAAGTATTACGAAATGATGCACGTTCTTATCAAATCACTGCTCTGTAGACACTAAAATAGATAAAGCAACAAAATTAAGTAGAAAATCTGCTACTGAAAAGACCATCATTGAAAAAGCCGGCGTATAATGGAATCTTTGTCTTTCTTTTTTTGTTTATCAGGGAACCAGCCGCAAAGAAGAAATCAGGTGAGTCACGTGTCAACACGTATGATGAATTCAATCATTTTTCTGTGGTTCTGACATTTTTTTTTTTTAACTTCTCTACATTTACTGCGATGGGACATTGTTTACCTATGGTGCTGGAATAACAGCGTTGATTCTGTCACGTGCCGTTTCATTTTCTTTCGAAAAACCAAAATCTCTTTCCTCCCTCCGTTCGCTCTTCAGTTGCATTCATGTCACCCCTTTTCAGTTTGCTTCTCCGTTCATTTTCCTTTCCATCAGGGTTTGCCGAGAGAGCGACTACTTTCCTAAAGCGAGGTAGTAAGACACCGAGCGTCATGTTTGGTCTTGCTGTGTGTTGATCCGGCAAGTTGCTCGAGGCCTCCCCATCACTGCCACCCACACACACCCACCCACTCCCCCTCCCCACAATCCGGGCAGGTGGGATGTGAAGCTTTCGTCAGAAAAATACGACTGTGGCCACCGCCTTCTGGAATCCAATAATGTCTTGCACGTCAAACAACTCCCGTATTTTCCGCACTATAAGGCGCTCCGGAGTATAAGGCGCCCCTTCAATGAATGACGTATTTTAAAACGGTTTTCATTAATAGGGCGCACCGCATTATAAGGCGCATAGAATGGAAGCTACAATAGTGGCTGAGGTTGCATTTCGCATCCACTAGATGGAGCTTCACTAAAGGGAATACAATACAATACAGCTTTGTTAATGTAGCGCTTTCGTAACCGCTGCAGCTCTTACAAAGCGCGACGGCAAACATTTAAAATGCCACATGCAAAAAAATCGAAATATTGATCCATATATAAGGCACATCGGATTATAAGGTGCGCTGTCGACTTTTGAGAAAATAGAATGCTTTTACGTGCGCCTTATAGTGCGGGGGGAAACTGTATTTTAGTGAAGTATGATCTATTTGTAATAATACATATCCATGCGCATTTAATTGTTCAGTACTTGTACCAATTAAGACAACTCTCTCATATACACCTTAAGTTAATGGATGTGGTGGGCTCACTGCAGTTGAGAAACTAAACATTCCTCGTTTCTATATGAGGAAATGCCATAACCATCAAATCATCACGGGTGTTTAGTCCATTTAGTTTTATGTGGCTCACAAGATTTAAAACACAATGTGACATTTATAAATTTTTTTTGTGTGTGTTTGCTTTGCTTGCCGCTGCTCACTGAAGGATCCGCATCGCAATCAGAGGTGCCGTATTGAGGGTGCTTGAATTTTGATTGACAACATTCGTTTTGTTGTTTATCCGTCCACTTGCACCTTCAGTGATCTGCTTGCAATGTTGGTCTTTCCTATTAGGATCATTTCAACCAAGACTGATAGTCTTGATGAAGTGGAGTTGAAACCAAGTTGAACTGCCTGTCTTCATATTTTCTATGGTGTTGATGGTGGGATTTCTAGGGTGCTAGTTCATAATTTTACATAACCCCGTATAACTTTAATCACCTCTAACCTACATTCCCAGTATTTGGTCTTCGATGGTTGGGTTCTCTCACACGATCTATCCAATTGTGTCTGCTGCCTCGCCTGCTTTGCATCCAGGTGACTCTCCGTAATCGAGTTTAAGCCTCTTCTCATTTATTGGTTGGTGACTTTGACCTTGTCGGAATTATTCTTGGAACGTCACACAAAGTCAATTCACTTGGCTTGCATTAGTGGAAATTTCATCGCCGTCGGACAGTGTGAAGTCAAAACCATGTCAAGATGACGGTCTGAAAAGTGCACAGGTAATAAAAGTTCATGGGCCTCATGCTGATATCCAATTAAGGGCCTTAACGAGATTTAATGACCAACCATTTGAGCGCAGGCTTTGCTTTATTATGGAGACTTTACCTCAAAACAAAAATAGCTGACGGCTAAATGTAATTGGGCACGCGTTGTCTTTTAACAGGAGACGGCACTTCGGCGGACCCGCTGCTTTTGGACCAGTATGTGGCCGTCACGGACTACGAGAAGCAAGAGAGCTCCGAGATCAGTCTCCGGGTGGGTCAGGTGGTGGAGGTCATTGAGAAAAATGAGTCCGGTAGGTTCCCCCAATCAACTTTATGAACTGAACAGTATTTACAGTCATATTTTTTTACCTTTACATCTAGTCAATCACAACAGAAGCCACATTTAAAATATAAAACACCATTCGTTTTCCTTGCTGATTGACACTTGGAGCTCATCATGGTTCTTGACAGTTAGTTTCCCCTCACGAGACACGGCTCTTACCTTTGATTGTTCATATTGTTGCGCTCGCAAGGCTGGTGGTTCGTGAGTTCCGAAGACGCCCAGGGCTGGGTTCCTGCCACCTGCCTGGAGGCCCAGGATGACCCCGATGACTTCACTCTTCCGGGAGACGAAGGTACTCGATGAACGAAGCCTTCTTCTCGGACGCATGCTTTCGACTGTTCCGATCCTGTAGCCCTGTGAGAGAGATCTTTCGGAAACCTTGTCAATATTGTGATAGCGGCCAGGGACTGAATCCGAGCCTGGCTTGTACTTAGAAGTTCCAGATGGGCGGAGGTGTAATATTACTTCCTGTCTTGCCTCACCGTGCTGCCGCGTCAGCGCCTCGGAGATTCTGGTCTTTGCCGAGGCACGTGGGCCGCCGTCGAACTTTAGGGGATCTTATCAGCACGGGCTTTGGGCAAGGTGGAGCGCATGAATTTTCTTCTATGCCCCCTATTAACCTGAAATATGTGTCTGTGTCTTTGCTGATGCACGCAACCTACTTGGCTTGGCATGTCCTGTATGGAGGGCCCCGCGCATGTCAATGAAGTCCTTGCATTCGAAGTCCAAAATGAATCTTTTTGTGAAGTAACCAAAACCAAAGTGACATTAGGTGTGTGTGTGTGTGTGTGTTTTTTTTTTTTTTTAGTACAAACAAAAAAATAGCTAACATAGACAATAGCGTAAGTTCTGACTTAGCTTTAGAATTCAGGTTACGTTGTCTGCCGTCTTCAACCCAGGACCCTCTGTAGGTTGTTTTCATCACTCAATCTGGCTCTTGCTATGTTACTCAAATAGTAAAATGTTGACATTTTTTTATGGTGAATACAAAAGAATTTAAAATAAAAAAAAGAGTGTCTGTTCTGGTTCAAATTGTTAATTTCTCGTGTGTTTTTCCTGTATTTTTTTTTTAACCACGAGAAGGGAGACAAAATACTGTATTGGAAATATCTCATGAATAAATCACAACAGCCGCAATGATAAACATTAATATCGCTCTGACAACCCACAATCAAAACAACGCTTCACTGCCTGTAAATGCAGACATTCTCATACTCATTGGGAGAAGTGTACCTTATCACTTGTCCAGTGAGCGTATGTATGCATGTGTTGTGTTTGTTGCATGCGTTTATTTCTCATTCTATACCCCGCAGGCTTTATTCATCGCATCTTTCAAATTGTGTTTTTGATTATTGAATTTATTATGGATCAGTAAAGTTGTTTCTGGGGCAGTTGCCAAGAAAAAGAAATGTTTTAATACATGCTGAAAAGTGCAACATTTAGTCAGCAGAAGCTTATGCCTGTTGGTGTTCTATTAGTGTTCTTTTTTTTTTTTTTTGCAGAAGAAAAATATTCCGTGGTTTATCCTTACTCGGCCCGGGACCAAGATGAGATCGACCTGGAGAGAGGAATGATTGTGGAGGTCATTCAGAAAAACTTGGAGGGCTGGTGGAAGATCAGGTAACGCCTATTTGTCTTATTTCAACTTTCGACTCAGTGATTCCCAACTGAAATTATTATTACTGTTAATTATTTCACGAAAGTGGTCCACTTCTGGTCCATACATTCCCTCGGTCAGTTTCGCAGTGTCACGGCGCTGTAATCTGCCATCCAATCAGGTACCAGGGACGCGAGGGCTGGGCCCCGGCTTCCTATTTGAAAAAGACCGACATTCAGAGCCAGAAGCAGGCGTCGGGCGGCGCCACGCACGCCAGCGCCAACGACCTGGACGGATTCTCCAAACAGAGCCAGCTGACCCGAGAGACCCGAGACGGCAGCCAGAAAGAAAACAGACTTTCGTTCTTTTCTGACAACAAAAGTAAGTCCATTTGAATGTGAAAGGTTTTGGATCATGTCTATATTTAAGCTTTTTAACTTGGTTGTTTTTTTTTTTTTTTTAACTACAGGATTTGGACTAAGACAAAGACCTCCTCCACGCAGAGATCTTTCCATAGTAAGATCACGGAATTACGTACGATACATCCTCAAACGGTGGTGTCGCCAGGCTCCTAAGAAACCAATGAATGCCTCACCTCCAACAAATGCTTCCTTTTTTCCCCCCTTGAGAAAAAAATAAAGACACTACATCCTGATATCGTAACTTGCGAGCTTTTTCCAATAGCTGCATATGAGCGACCGTATGTAAATAGCGTGACTCTTCATAGCAGCAGATAGGGGTGTTCTGACACCCGCATTTTTCCCGCGGCCATCACTGTTGTCCACACCCACAATTTTTTTTCCCCCACGCGATTGAAAACAAGAATATTGTATGGTACAGCAGGGGTCCCCAACCGCCGGTCCGCGGACCGGTACCGGTCCGCAGGGCATTTGGTACAGGGCCGCACAAAAAGAACTTGCCTCATTTCCGTTTTATTTATTTCGGAATACGAAATGTGTTTTATTTTGAAAAATTACCGGATTCTCTGTTACATCCGTCTGTGTCACGCTTGACTCACGTCAAGCCACACTTCTTGGTCACGTGACCGATGACGCTCATAAACAAAACGCTGAAGCCCGCAAAATGAGTAAAAAAGCTGCTTGGAGATCGCAAATGACTTCGGACTTAATAGTACGTTCGAAACAACTGGATCAAAGTTATGGCTGAATACTCTGAGATCGCCACAATAGCACTGTTGCTATTTCCGACATCCTACCTGTGTGAGGTGGGGAGTTTATGCAGCAACAGCGACTAAAACAAAATTACGAAGTAGACTGGACATAAACCACACACTTGAGGTGTCATTGTCTCCTATTACCCCGAGATGGGACTGTCTGATTGCAGAAAATCAAGCTCGGGGCTGCGGTGAGTCGTCATTTTCATGCACTTTGAATTTGCGTTGTATCGTATTTTGAAGGCATTAAACATTACCAGAGCGATAAGAGTGTTGCGACCAGATTAGACGCTCCTTGTGTTTATTATTATATTTCGAAAACACCACAGTTTTCATGCAGCTCATACCATATTATTTTGTTGTATTAATTCCGCCACACCTTAAATGCCGGTCCCTGAAAATAATGTCTGACTTAAACCGGTCCGTGGGGCAAAAAAGGTTGGGGACCCCTGTGGTACAGCACATCCGTCACACTTCAGTACACTTTGTTTACCAGTGAATTCATGGAGGACTAATCCCTGTAATTACACGGTTCACCAAACATCCGAAAAATACACCTCGGTGTGCTCTTAATGCCCATGAAGAAAAGGCAAATACAAGTAGACGTCACCTCCAAATGCTCAGTACCAAGAAAACAAGGACAGGTGAACAAAAACTGCTAACGTGTGGTGTCATTCCCCCCTGTAATACAAAAGCCACAATTCTATTTCAACCAATGCCAGCAACAGACGCAAATGTGTCATGGCAACTCTCAAATGACTGTCTTGCTCTTCTCCGCTTTTGAGTAAATAAACGCCAGCTGCCATTTGAGGAAGCAGTGTGTATCACCTGTGATTATATAAGCATAATATTTAGCATAGCATATCATATTTAACATAGCATTTATTTTTTTTAATCATCTCTGAACCTTTCCACAGCCACGAGGTACGAACCTTCCCAAGCCGCCTGGTCCTCCGCAGGTCGAGGAAGAGTTCTACACAATAGCCGACTTCCAGACCACCATCCCCGATGGGATCAGCTTCCAGGCTGGAGTAAAAGTGGAGGTGAATGGCGGCGGTTTGGAGTGGCGTATAACTGAAGTGACCGGAAGACTTAAGATGTCTTCTTTTCTATCATACCAGGTGATTGAGAAGAACGGCAGCGGCTGGTGGTACATTCAAATCGACGAGCAAGAAGGTTGGGCTCCGGCGACATTTATCGATAAGTACAAGAAGACAAGCAATGCCGTGCGGCCCAATTTTTTGGCCCCTCTGCCCAATGAGATGGAGAGGTTGCGACTGGAGGACAGCGGTTCTTCAAATGCACCGTGCACAGATGATAGCTGGTCTAAGCCCTTACCGGATGAGCCCACCGGAGCCCCCGAATCATGCACCCGAGCCAAGCTTAGAGACTGGAAGTCTGGTGCTACTAAGTCTTCCGCCTTCTCCGGACCACTGCCTCCAGCCCCCGTGGCGCCGCCGGATGACAAACCAGCTCTGCCCCCCCGAAGAGAGTCCATCAATAAAAGCTTTGACTCGGAGGCGGCAGACAAACCGGCCAGACCGGATCATTCCAAGCCTTTGCCCCCTAAACCTCCAGCTCCCGGGGTCATCGTGCCGCTGGTTCCGCCAAAGGCGGCTCCTTTCAAAGCAGACAAAACAACCGAACCAAAGAAAGAGGACAAGAGCAAAGCGCTTCACCTTCGCAATGAGATGGGTCTGGAATGCGGTCACAAGGTCTCCGCCAAAGAGGTCAAGAAGTTTAACCTGAAACCGGTCCCCAAGCAGCCACCCAAACCCAAGGCCGAAGTCAGCGAGGAGAAACCGGAGGCAGCTTCTCCAGCGGTATTTATGAAGCCAAAGCCGGTGATCCGACCGAAACCCATTCCGGCCGCGAAGCCGGAGTCGCCAGCGGAGAACAAAGTCGACATCACCAACCTGAGAAGTAAGCTGAGGCCTTCAAAACCCGCGGATCCCGGCTCCGCTTCAGGGGAGGTCACCCAGCCGCACGATAACCCGGCGGTCCTTCCTAGCGCGCCACCCTTTCATAGCTCATCTCTGAATAATGGCAAGAACTGTGACGAACCAAAATTCCCGCCTAAAAACATGAACGGCCATAGTCAAGAGAGCTCGCCACCTCCTGCAAAACCAGCAGTCCCTCCCCACAAGGAGGCCCCTCTAAGACCCCCGGCCTTGGCCCCGAGAAGACCTCCTCCTCCAAAGAAAACCACCCCATCAAGCCCAACTGAGATCAAACCACCCACTGCTTTCAAAGACGCTCAAGATTCTCCTAAGACCGGACCGCAACTCAACAGACCCCCACCCCCGAAACCAAAGGGCTTTTCTCCAGCTATCCCAAGCAAAGAAAAAGAAGAATCCAAGGGTAGTAAAATCGTGATTCCCCCCAAACCTCAGGTGAAGAGCGACAAGCCCGGCCCGCCCAGAGACAAGCTCCCACCTTTGCTCAAGGACAAGGAATCCAACAAGGAGGAGCTCTACCTGGCCGTGGCGGACTTCGATGGCGACGACCCGACCTCCAGCTTCAAGGTGGGGACGCTCTTTGAGGTGCTGGAGAAGAACAGCAGTGGCTGGTGGTTCTGCAAGAACATAGGAGAAGATGTTGAGGGCTGGATCCCTTCCAATTACTTGAGCAAGAAACCGTGAGGCACTCAGACCCAAATGCTGTAGATAAAAAAAACACACCCCAAAAAAAGCATCACTACTTTATAGCTAGTATTCATTTTTAATTTATAGGTACTGTTTTTTTTTTGTTTGTTTTTTTACTTATACAGCAACACCACCATGGACCTACAAGGCTTTGTTTACTATTTTTAATCTAACTATGACATTAGAACCCTTTGTTTCTTTTTTTTTGCCAGATTCAAGTTATCAGCTGCATTAAATGAGAGAGGAGTGGTAGCGTAGCGTTACAATTTACATAGGAGGGTTGGGGGGGGTCCTTATGGTGTAGGCGCTGTAACCCAAATCAGTTTGTATGCGCCGTATACTACCCGTAACCTATTGCTGGTATTGGGTGGTATCCGTTTATCTCCAAAACCATTTTTTTCAAGAAACAATGACAAACACACACACACACCAATCAATCGACTTACCAGAGATGCTGAGTAAAGACAGAATCCCTTGTAACTACGCCTTCTCGGATGGCAGTAACCCTGTATGTGCAAAATATGTTTAATATGCAGAATTCAGGCAAAGACTCCTCCCTGCATCACAAAAAAAAAAACACTTGAACATCCAAGATTACTTTTTGTTGTAAACAAATAGTTGATTGGGGTTTGATGGACATTCGGTACGAAAAGCAATCGAGTTCACTTTGCTAAGCGTAAGAGCTTTGTTCATGACGGTCACGCGTGTTCAATTTGCTCCTGCGATCCTTCCATTTTTTTAAACTTTTTTGAATATATATCTTTGCCTTGATTTGTATGAAACATGGTCTTCCCGCTCTTTTCTTTTTACGAGGTCAGGCAAAGATTTGCACACGCTCAAAGAGGTGAAAATGGATGACACCATTTTCTGCCACGTACCGAATGTCCTCAAATAGTGGACTCTGCTCTCATAAAAACCGTGACCCTATTAAACGCCAGGTGCATTGTTAACTTGAATAAATAAACACTGCACCTCTGTTTATTTCTCAATACCGTTATTTTGTTTTGTCTTAACCAGAACCCGTGGCCACTGTAAAGTTTCGTAGTGCTGCTTCTAGAGTGGATTTATTCCATGAGGGACAAACACAATAGTGTCCTAAAAAAAAATTATAATAATAATAAAGCAAGAGCTACCCTTTAGTGAAACGAGTCGTGTTAATATATTTACTATAATAAAGGTGCAAAAATTATACTTGAAAGAAGTGCAAAGTGAAAAAAAGGCTTAAATAAATGAAGGCCTCCTGCCAATGGCTCGTACTCTCTGCAGTTGAGTAAATAAATATCAACGGCCGCTATATGGGGGCAATGGTTCGCACGTCATAATTGAAAAAGTAGGCTTTCGAACAGTGACCAAGTAATCGGTGCAATTATTTACAGTATTTACAACGTGCCACAGTCTGGTGTTCTGATAACAGCGATAAAAGTGGAGGACCAATGTACAGTACAAAAATATTGTTTTTACAAGAGGGCTTGACTGGTCTCAAGCGTGGTCAGTGTATCAAAAATATTTTTATTATGGAGACTTAAATGTCTCACTTTTTTTCATTATTAATTGTGCGTCTTTTGACTTTTTTTTGTTTTTGTTTTTTTTACTCATGAAGAGACTAGAATGAGAAAAGGAGTGAAATTTATTGAGGATTTCATTGAAAGTGAGCGATATTTGGTTTGGACATACAGTACTGCATTCTACGGTTGTCATCACCACTAAGCAAAGTGGATAAAATAAAAAGTTCATTTAGACAATTAGACAAGACTTAAACTGAGTTGCTGTGTTCATTTGATACACAACCGACAGTCATTAAAAGGATGGAAGTGAGTTTGAGTTAAGTTAGGGGCAGTATATGAAAGATAAATGTGTGGGTACATCATGTCATCATGGCAGTATTATCAGTTTTTTTTTTCATCTTTAACTCAATAAACATTTCAGTGTTTTTTTTTCCATTCTGGTGGTTTTCATTTGTTTCAAGAAGTCTTACTAGTATAGCAAACAATTACGGTAGTTACATTAGAATAATTGCACCACGAGCAACCTATTGGCCATTTTCGTTCACAAAAACAAAAATTTAAACATTCGTGACAATTGTGACAAAAACATTTTTAAACATTAGTTTAGGGGAAACAAGCAACCAAGAATATTAAGCAAATTGAACTGTACAGGTACTTGGAGAAAAAAAAAGTTAATTTGGAGGAGAAATGTTTGTGATTTACAAAGATCGGTACAACAGCTCCACCTTCTGGTGAAATTGTGAAAAGCAATTTTAGCTGAATCTTTCTTGGTTTCTTCCATTTCTATCGATAAAAAACAATACTGAATAAATATTAGATTATGATTTAACCGTGATCACAATTTTCCCATCTGATAAAATTTTCAAAGGAATTCGAACCCAAGTTTCATGTCGAGTTGACCTTTATAAAATTCCCTGCAAAACGATTCATTGACTGCACTGTAACACATGACCAAGGAAAAGAACAACTAGACTCCAAATCAACTACATTTGACATTGAGAATTTGGTATGCTCAGTTTGTTAAATATTAGGGTAAATTCCATCCATGGAAGAATCCAATGTCCCAAGAGTTGAGACAATACTGAACTGGGCTCGGGTGAGAAATTTCAATTCCTTTCTAACGTTGAGACTCACAAAACAGCGCCACCGTTTGCTGGAAGTATTCGGTCCAAAAGAATTTCAGCTGGACAATGTGTCAAGTTTCGAGTCAGTCACTTGTGAGTTAAAACTAACTTGTCATTCATTAAATGAGTTGAATTCCTTAAAAACTCTTGCCAAAGTCCAATAATTAGAAAATCTATATTTATTAGATATTTACAACAGTGGTTCCTTCTAATACAGTTTCAATCACACTCATAAACCAGCATACATTCCACTTTATGCAAACTGAGGCAGAGCGGAAGACCTAGAGGGACCCAGTAACCTCGATCGGAAAATAATAATGAACAAGAGAGCGGAATTTAAATGTACCTAAATGTCGATTTAATATATTGTACTTTTGCAGGACAAAAAAAGTTACAATTCAGCGGAACGAATCTTTGCATTCCCTTGAAAACCAAACAATAAAAAAAAAAAAAAAAAGTAATATTGCACTTAGGTTAGCATGCAGTTTAACTACTGCAACAATTAAACACTCAAAATGTTTTAAATCCATCAACTGACAAACAAACAGTATTTCGCTTTGGCTTCGTCACTTCCCATCCAGTGTTGCTGATTTCTACAGTAAAACAATCACTTCTCTCCCTCGTGTGTTAAAACAAATTCCTAAGGAGTAATTTAAAAGAAATACGACGAAGACTATTTTTGTTCAATTTGGTCTCAGCAATACCCCATTCAAAGTATAATAATGACTATCATCTTAATGACGATAGTCACAAACATCCTTCATACCGCAGCTCCGTATTAAAAATATACATTTGAAAATATTTAAATTAAAAGTTACAGTGACGAATTGAGATTAAACTGTGAGCAAAAATAAATAAAAAAACAAGGCACACTTTGGCAGTTCCGGGACAAAACAACGTAAGGCATACAGGACCGTAGTTTACATGCTGCATATTTTGTCAATTGCATTGACATCATCAAACATCCCTCTTTGAAAAAAAAGTCTCTATTCCCTATTTGGGCATTAAAAAAATAAAGATGACACCCTCTTAACGAATTTAAAAAAAAATCACCTGAATATAAACTACTATTGGGGTGTGGCCTTTGGTCGTCAACCAACAACGTGACGATTATGTAGTAAGGAAAAAAACAAACAATTACGAGTTACGACATAAATATGCACTTATTAACATGAATGATAACGTAAGGAGGCGAGCGGGATTCTGTCGCGACGGACTCAAATTAAAAAGCAAAACAACGTCGTGCCCCGTAAGGTAGGTGAGTTGGAGACAGTTTTGAAAACGTGAATGTGGATGTATCACAGCAGTAGCATGCGCTTTATGAGGTGGAGGAGTCCTGATAGGGCACAAACTTGGAGAGTTTGCCGATAGATCCGCTCGGAGTTGGGAAGTCGCCCATGTCGGTGATCTTAAAGAAAGCGTCCTGCTCCTTCCTCTTGTTCTTGAGATCTTCCTCGAGTGCCTGTGATGCAGGAAGAGGAAGAACACATGACAAGATACAGAGAGACAAAACGATGACACATGGTGGTGCCCCGCCTGATCTCAATTGAGATTTAGAACGTCTCAACTTCTTTCTGAGCTCATCTGTACGGCACTAATATCAGTTATTCTACGCGGGGGATGTGACGGTGATGACTACATTTCTATGAAGTGCCGACATATCGTTGCTGAAATAGTTGTGTTCAGTCCCGTTACTTAAAGCATCGCAACATGGATGCTAACTAGCATTAGCATACACTGAGCAGGGCCTTTACTTCAGAAGGTGTGTGGCTTTTTTAAAAAAAAAAAATAATTCTGTATGTTTAGTTTGACAGGATAAACTTCAACTGGGAGTGTGAAGCCACCATAAAGCACAAGTAAAAAGTGAAGGTAAACAATGGCTCGCATATCGAAAGAAACTCCGAAGTCCAGATCATTTCTATCGCAAGGCAAGTTGCTCGATGAATCGTATCAGGAAACCTACCATCTTCCTCGGTTTCAGCTGCTCCCTCCAGTCCTTCAGCTGCTGGTTGTGCTGCTCATCCAGCTGTTTAAGCCTAAGCGTCTCATTCTCAAGCAGCACGTGGGCCTTCTCATTCTGAGGTAGTCACATTTATTATCATTATTATGATTTATTTTTATTTTTGGGGGGGGGGAACAATAATTTTTTTTGTATAGGTAAAAACTGTTTACGTGTGTGTACCTGCAGTTGCTGCAAATCTCGGATGTTTCCCTCGCAATTGCTGACCATGTCCCTCATTTGATTCTCGTGCTTCAGCTGCTGTTGCTGCCTCTCGTTCTTTTGACGCTTCTCCTCCTGCTGGGAAAACTTCACAGGGCAAACAAAACAAGATGTGAGAAGCGGGGTGATTCGTGGTTGTGGTTGTGTCCTACATGTGACAACAATCCCCTTGCATGCTTTACGGTTGTACCTGTTTGATCTTCTCCCTGTCCTCTGAGCTGTTGCCTGAGGAGTTGATGCGCAGGCTCTTTTTGAACATGGCCAAGCGGGTTTTGGCTTCGTTGCGTTGGTGCTTGGGCAGGCGACTCTTCTCCTGTTGCTGACGAACTCTCAGAAGCTCGATCATGCGCTGGTTGTAGCTCTGCATGTGCTCCTGCTCCTGGATTTTCACAGAAGATAGAAACAAGGAAGTCGCAGGAAGAGGAAGAACACATGACAAGATACAGAGAGACCAAAAAATGACACACGGTGTGTCCCGCCTGGAGCTCAATTGGGATTTTTAACGTCTCAACTCCTTCCTGGGCTCGTCTGTACAGCACTAATATCAGTTTTTCGGTGATGACTACACTTCTATCGAGTGCCGACATATTGTTGCTGAAATAGTTGCGTTCAGTCCCGTTACTGAAAACATCGCAACGTGGATGCTAACTAGCGTTAGCATCTCGCAATGATGTCATTTGCCATTTACCATGCTGTGTTTTTTCAGGAGCAGATGCCTCTGCTGGAAATATTGATCTTTCAGCTGCTGCTTGAGTAGCTGATGTCTCTCATGGAGGCTCCTCTCCTCCAATTCCCATACCGAAGATTCGCGATCTGAGCGGCGAGACAGGAGGACGGCGAGAGCAGACGGTTAAGCCTAAAAGCATCACACGACGCGCTCTCACGCTCGCCACAGAAACCCCAACCTCGGATTAGCTGCTGCTTCTTGTTGAGACAGTCCTGCTCTGTATCGGCAATCTCTTTCTTGTTGTTGAAGGTGATTTGGTTGAGGGTAGACTCCAGGTGGTTTTTCTGGGCTGCTAGGAATTGTGTCTCCTTAAGACACAAGGAGGGGGAAAATTCACGAGACATTCATGAATAATTCTTCGTAATAATTCATTCATATCTTCTCGTCACCGCACCTCTTGTTGCTTGGTTTCTTGGAAGGAATTCATTCGGTGTTTCAATTGTTCTTTGCGCTCACCTCTTGGGAGCTTGTCGACAGATTGTTTCAACTGTCGAAGGGGAAAAAGGGGAAAAAAAATGCTGTCACTCATTTGCATAAGACAGAGCTGGGCCGGATCGTGTCGTGTCAAAGGTGCATTGGGAAATGTTAAAAATTGTACTTTTTTTGAAAGACCATCCGTTTTAAAGTGTGCCTACCTCCTTTTTCAGTTGTTTGAGTTGATCCTGGAACCTCTGGTACTCGCGCTGTTGCTCAGCTTTAATGCGTTTGGTCTCATCTTTGACTTTACTTTGGTGGTCCGACTCCATCCTCTCAATGGTTTGCTTCTGGTGCTTCTCCAGGTTCTCCATCTCCGCGTCGTAGAATTTCTTCTTCAGCTGTGAAGACGACACTACGGCATTAAGAAATGGCATGACCGAGATACTGTAATAACCCAAAGACAAATAACTCCGATAGGAACACAACCGTGATTTTGAAGCGCAAATCAGTGCCATACAGTGAAATGAATCGGAAGTTGTACACTTCTTTTGGGAAGACGCTGGGCCCGACACTAAGCACATCAAGTGTTCTGTTGTGTCCAGTGAATGGCATCTCACATTCATTTCTTGGTCGAAACGTTTTTGCATTTGGTCCTTCTGCGTTTCCAGTTTGGCCTGTAGCTGAGCCAGGGCTCGCTGCTCCTCTTTCTGGAGTAAACGCAGCTCGCGCAGCTCCTGGCGCCTGGACACACAAAAATAGCAGGTTGAAGTCGACTGTCAGAGACATCTCGTGAAGTTTGTGACGGTATGTGTAGGGTCACGTTCGTACCACTAGGTGACATGAGTGATGCAGCGGTAGGACATCAAAGAGGAGTCAACAATTCATTTCATGTCATGGGGATGACTGGAGCCTTTAGCATCTTTTTTTTGTGTACGCTTGATTCACAAACAAGTTAAAAAAGAGGTCAAGATGCCTTTTTGACTCCACCCCCCACCCCCCTCCCACTTATCGGCACGGCCCAGATTCTCCACAGCGGTTCATCAAGATGCTGACGGGGGAGGCATTCCAGTTTGTTTGCGTATCAGATGTGCAAGAGGTTTGTCCGCATACCTGAGGAATCTCATCTCCTCGTTCTTCTTCTCATCGTCCCGGATGATCTTCGAGGTTGTCACGCTCACCTCCACGCCGTCGATCACAAACTTCCTGGTTCGCCTTAACGTCTTCCGAGAGTAGTCCTGCAGGAAGGAAAGAAAAAGGGGGTTGCTGGTGTGTGTTACATGCTCTTAATTCATGTGACGTGGACTTAAAAAAAATTTAATAATAATAATAATAATAATAAAAACCATTACTATCATAAATGCAAAAACAAGGGTGCATGTTAAATACGCCTGCCTGTTGATAGTCTATTCAGTGACTGCAGTGCCTCTCGTTGAATAAGCTGTTCTGGAAAAAAAATAAATAAAAGACGACAAAACTCCACACAGAGTTCAACAGGATTTTCCAGTCATGGTCAGTCGGGCGTCCGTAAAGCTCCAGAAGCAACTGTGTGACAGAGAGGCGCATAGAGAGCTCCATTCACCGGAGGTCAACCGCTGGACTGTGGCCACACAAAGGCCACATTGGGCCTCTGTGAATGGGACACCGTGCATATTTTGCGGCCAAGAAGGCTCGATGGAAAAAAGGCATGAAACACCCTCTCTCTCTCTCTCTCTCTCTCTCTCTCTCTTTCTCTTTCTCTCTCGTCTCGTACGTTGGCATTACACCTAGCCCGTTAAGCCATCACGCTCACTTTGTTTGGATTTTTGAGAGAATCCCTTCCAGGTTTAAGGATAAAAGTCATGTTGAGACCTTTTGAAGGCTACTTAACAGTCAATGCTTCTCGTTCACTAAATGTGACCACAAAGAGTGGGCTATCTAATCATTTGACGGATATCTTAATGAAGTCTTGACTAGAGTCTTGTTTTTGTCATCTGGGGTATACCGTAATTGGCTCATGTCTTTGTGCTTTAGAAACACTTTTTTAATCACCTTCCCTGGTCTATGAAAGGACTAAGCAGGATTTCTGTTGGCTTAAATTGAGTCAATGTTGGTCCAATTTTGAGAAATGGCTGGAATTGCAGTTCAACAAAACCCAACTAGCGCAACGCTAGTCAACAGTGTTGATGATGTCAGAACTTTCAGAGCCACGTGTGGATTGAAATTAGGCTGAGGTGGCCGCTGCAAAATTTTACATGTCGGAAAAGTGTTCAAGCACTCGGTTGGTGTACACGTTCGTGCCACCGGCACTGTTGTTGTTTTCATCGTTTCAAACCAGCCGCCGACTTCACCATGAGAAACATGAACGGCGGTGTGCATCCCGTTAATCTCGTGTAAATTACACCTTGAACATTATACTTCCTGTATGTCATGTGCTGCTGAAAGCCTTGCGAAATACAGGGAATCCTCTGTTTCAGCGGTCTAACACCCACACCCCACAAAAGCAACAATGCAGTTTCAGTTCCTCGCTACATGCTTTTTCCAAGGAGGAGTTTTCCGGAAGACACTGGGAGCTCCTTCGTTGGCACTTTTTTTCCTCCCTTCCTTACACTTAACCGTTAAAGAGTGTTTCGCCATTTGAAGCGAAATATAGACACGAAAGCACAAAATGGACTCACCCTTGCAGATACTGAGAAGTTCTCCTTATTCAAGGACAGACTCTTCATGCTCTCTGTGTCCAGGCTGCCCGAGTACGAGTACCGCGTGCTATTGATCCGTCCGTTGATATAAGGCGAGACCGTCTCGGCGGCGGATCCCATCGACGCTCGATCGGTGCTCATCTTGTTGAGCATGTTGCTCGGATGGGAAGAAGGTGCCGGTGAAGGAGCAGCAATGAGTTCTGGAGTCTGCGCCGGGCCGACGGCAACTTGGTGATTCAGTATGTCTGCGCTCTGGTCCGGAGACGTCTGGGCCCTGGGCACCTCTGGCGACTCGATGCTGTCACCGCTTTCCTCAGATGCGTCGGACTGGGGGAGAGAGGGCAGCTGTTCCGACTCAACGGCCACCTGGAAAACGTAGATTACGGTTACTGTGTATCTTTTACGAGTGAAACGGTGGAACCTCAAATCATTTGGAATAGCTCAACAGGAAAAAACATCTTACAGACAGTTGGTCTACCTTCTCCTCCTCCGATGTGGGGGTACTCTTCCCGTCCTCGATGCCAGAGTCCGAGCTCGAAGTCTTGATGGACACGCCGCTCTCGTATTTCTCGGACTCCAGCTTCTCTCCGAAATCCGCTTGTTCCTTGGGGGGGAGATTATGCCGCGGTAAGGGAACAGGGGCGGCCGTGACAGCGCCTGGCTGATCGTCCGACGCCGAGACTGGTTCGGCCTCCTTTCCAAGTAAAGGCTCCGGGGACGTCGTGGTGGGGCTCGAAGGGTCCGAAGACTGGTCTCCCTCCAAACTGGTCTGACTGGTCTAGCGCACCAAAGATAAGGAGACTGGTCATGCGGTGATGTGCCAAAACACCGTATTTGAAATACTCGTCCCCCCTTTCCGTCCAGCTTCAGTAGTGTAAGCAAACATCGCTTGGCAAGAATGAGGCCCTTCCTGCTCAAAAGTTCTTTGCATCACGCCCAATTAGTTCCGTGATTAAGATTACATGTATGATGTACATTCTATTTATCTTACAAAGATTTGAGGAAATGGCCATTTTTGCAACCTCATTTCATGAGAGTAATTTCCGGACACTCATACACATTAAATCTAAGGTCCAATTGTTTTTTTGTTGTTTTTTAAGTCTAATGTAAAAGCTGAGGCAGAACAATGTATGGCCATGAATAATCGGGTCAGCGTTTTCTTTCTGTTACAGGCTAAATACCAAAGTCTAAATTTAAAGTGTGGCTGGATGCCAGTGTTCCGGTTACTGTTCTTTTGTTTATTCTGAGGGTGGTAAAGTGCACCCTCGTGCTCTTATGTTACTTTCTAATCTCGCGGCCGCTACGGACACATGAATGGCCCCCAACAGAAGCGACCTTCAGTCCTTTGGCAGGAAAGCAATGTTTACCGAGAAATGTTTGCTGTGTGTGCAGTTTGCTTGTAATCTGGAGGTAATGTAGCTTTGTAGGTTTTTCTTAGCTTGGCTGCTGGTAATATTCTGCCCCCCCCGCCAAAAAAAGCACACTAAATGAATGGAGGATATTTTGTAGAATGCTGGCAGAAATACATAAAATTGTCCTCTGATGAAAACAAACCACCGGTGTGCAATTCTCACAGCTAGAGTCAGCAGTAAGACCTCCCTCCGTAAATGAGCAACGACAAGGACGTTAAGCGGCCAAATTCTCCTATTTTCAGTCAGGAACAATGACGGAGAATTAAATGAAGGGTCAGATTGGACAAATAAACGAGATTTGGTACCACAGTGAGCTCCATGGTGTCGTCGTCCTCTGCATCCTCCCCATTGTCATCGATTTCCTCCATGACTTCAGCCTTGGCCTCGGCCACCAGCTCCCTCAGCGGTCGATTGGTCGTCACCGAGCTCACGAAAGGGTGCTGGGGGTGGGGGGGCGACACACAGGGGAAATGTCGGGCGTGAGTAGCGGCGGGGGAATCAGGTGCGCTTCTGATGAAAACGTGAGTAATGGCGGTCATCGGCTGGCCCCAGGTGGCAGCGAGACAGGAAGAGCACGGGCGACTTTCACCGCTGATGAAATTCGACCTGCCGCTTGTCAGCACCCAATTGTTTACCACTCAACCGAGGTGCATGCACCAAGGCTCAATGTCACAATACCTCAACATCACACCTTGATAACAGCGCGGCTCTTCGGGCCAACTTTTCCACCGCCGACGGAAAAGTGTGCTTTCAAAAGCAAAAGCGCGGAAACACGTTTCAATCATGAACGTGGCAGAGATAAGAAAGAGACACGCCCTGTATTATTCACACGCTACGTAATCGAAGTGGCGCAACTGACCAAAGAGGTAAACACGGCCGCGCACTTAATTGAGTGCGCGTTGGCAGACATCTGCAACAATTGTTGTCGTTTTGTAACGGCACTTGCCGTTCGGCCGTTTGGCTCCAGCTTTCAAATTGGCTGATTAGAAATAACAGTCAGCTATTGTCTAATGAGGCAGGAAGTGTAAATGCTGAGCGGTGTCCGATTACAGGAGCGCATTAGGGCCACTGCACATCCATGCGTCCATCACACTTGCGCAGGATGCAAAAGCCTACTGGCGTGGACACTGGGGTATAAAGGTGAGAGCAACTCGGAAAATTGCTCACTCAACCCCAGGTTAGCCAACCATGTCCTGTTTGTGTCTATCAATAAGAGGCAAAAAAAGCAAGTCTCACCTCACATGTAACAGCTGAATCAAGGTCAATGTCACAATGAGAAGGGAAAAAAAGGGAAGAACAATGGTGCTTATGTCCTCTTTTCTGGTTTTGTGTTACGTTAAGAGGCACGGAGTCATGCATGCATGGCTGGTTGGGAAAAGGTTAAACATTTGGTGGAAGCGGAGCACAAGGCTGCCTGTGTTGCAATCGCCGGGACAGATTTAAGACTGGATGGTGTTGCAAAGTCAGGGCAAAATGACAATACTTTATGTTAAAATGACAGTTAGGAAATAGCAATACATGATGGATCATACCAGCGCTACAATAGTTTCTTGGGGGGGTTACGTGAGAGAAATATGTAAAAAATAATGTCATGCTAAATCTCTGACTTTGATGATGATAGTTTTTGCTCTCTCAAAGGATGAGTTCATCCCAAATATACCGGGGTTGCATCACATTTTACAACATCCTGTAAAACTCCATTTTTTTACAGCCCAACAGCAGGTTACGTTGACACTTTCCAAAGATCAAAGAAAACTGTCCTGCAAGCCTTATTGACTGACACACAACACTAAGCGCGGCAGTCACACACACTCACACAGCTCAGTAATAATTCTCTAAGAAATGACTAACCGTTGCATCACATTCTAAAAGCATGATAATCTGACCCAAAAACGTGACATCCACACAAGTCATTGCACTAAATGTTATCTGACAAGCATTACAAACCACAGCCATGATACACATCTAAAACATCCAGCATGGCACCAAAAAGCGGACCGCGCCCGTCTCTAACCCGCCCCCCGGTGAAGAACGCAGACACAACCCCCCCAGGGAGCCTGCATGGATCTCGGCTTTCCATCTCTCCAACTGGCCAGCAGTGGAGAACGAGGCCAAGCGTGATCCTGACATGTTCGCGGCGGCCGAGACCGGCCGGGAATGTAAACAGCTGGCTTTCCCTCAGCTGCGGGATCAACGCAGGAAACCAAAGCTCGGAATTTTAATAGACGCCGCGCTCTACTGTTTGAAACCGCGTCGTGCTCGCTTTGACTACTTTCTTAAGATTTGTTCCAGAAACAGTTGGCATTAAGCTGGCCTGAGTAGTACTGTAGATGTGACAGTGCATGGTCATACCTACATTTTGGATCTCAGTTGTGGAGCCTGAGCTAATTTTGAGGAGCATAAAACAGGTTCAAAATTTTATCAAAATCCTTTTTTTGAATTCACTTTTACAATATTGCCACAGAGTTGGCACAGTCTTGTCTAGACTCGACTACCAAGCACAGCGTCAACTCAACCACAATTTCAAATCGAGTTTGCGGAAGTGTCCACTGCACCTCACATAAGGTTCTTGGTATTTTCCTTTTGCGGTATCGCTGCTTTTAGAGTGAATAGTAATTGGCTTCTATCATAACCAAACCGAGAAACTTGGCAGAGACGAGTCGTATCAGTTTTCTTAATGAACACACGTTGACATTTTGCACATGCAACCGAGTGAACAAAAATATTTGTTTTGAACTGTCCCTTGCCAGAAAGCCTAAGTGTTGATCTGAAGGCAAAAAAAAAAAAATTGGCGACTCAAGTCTAATTTGTCCCCCCGACTCTGGTCAGGTCAATATGAAGAACACAACAGACATGTTTTGTTGTCATACATCATCAGTGTGCCAAGTAACATGGTCGGTGTCATGGATCTTGGCTCACCCCCAGGAGCTGTACTGCAGTCGGACGGTTCTCTGGGTTCTTATCCAAAACTCTCCTCAGGAAATCTTTAAACTCTTGTGACCTGTGAAAACAGTCACAGAATATAAACAAAGAGAAGTGACGGAAAATGGAGCGCGGAGGGGGGGTATGTAGGACACCTTAACATAGTAAAGTGTTCAGAACAGAACACTGGTGAATGCATCATGTTGATACATGCGGATTCCTCTGCTGCGCACAGCTGGGCTTCGTAAACGCGAGCTCTCATCGGGAACGATTGTGACGCGGGGCATCGCGAGCCCACTTTCGGCACCTTTGTGAAAGCAGTGTTGCGAATCTCGGCTTGTAAAAGTGAGAAGTGGAAAAATGTCGCTGTTCAGCACTTTTTTTTTTTTAGGTCCAATGTCACTGAATTGAGAGGTGATCATGTGATGCACTGGACAGTAGAAAGTGAAAAATAGCACATAGCCTCATAAAAGCGGCCTGCGGCTTTTATTTAGTCGAGTTCAGAGAGTATAAGGTGTCTGTTAGGGGTAAGGAGCGAAACCTTAATTTTGTCTTTAATATTACCTTTTTTCTTTTTTTTTCGCCCAAATGTAGCAGTGACAAAATAATATAGTTTAATAAATGGTCAATTAAAAATATGATGACATACCGGAGTTGTCACTTTTGTTCTTAAGCTGCTCGGCTGTGGCTGACTTGGCTCACCATTTGTTCGGTTGATCCAGGGAGGGAGGGTCCGACTTGGTGATCTTCAGCAGGACCCTCATGGGGTTGAGGTCATGGTGCGGTGGTTCAATCTGAGCAAGTTCGATCAGCGTAATCCCGAGGGACCAGATGTCGGCCTTGTAGTCATATGGGGCGTCCTTCATGGTCTCACACATTACCACCTCTGGGGCCATCCTGACAGAACAGACAAGACTTGGGAGTGAGCATGGTGCCATATTAAGTACCCGAAACGCAAACATGCAGTGAATCCCGACTTGGCCACATGCGCTCACGGGGAGAACCGTGTTGTTAAGGATATGCCACTGAAGCCTTCAAAGGAGACGCCTGCCAGTTTGTTCAGGTGAAGACGAGGGAACGGCGCCGTTGTCACACCGATGAAGGATTACAGCTGTGAGCGGAGCTCACGCTTTTTTTATAGACTAATGGATAACGTGTGGCTAAAAGATCAAAAGCATTCCTAAGAAGCGGCGGTCTGCACATCAATTTTTTCTTGGATTTAGGACGTTTTGAACAGCTAACGTTACAGGACAGCAATACCTGGACAGGACCAAAAAAAAAAAAAACATAGTTACTCACCAATATGGCGTGCCGATGAAAGAATCTCTTCTTTGGAGGGTTTTGGTGTTCTTAGCAGACACACCGAAATCAGCTAGAAAACACACACACACAAAAAAGAACCAAGATAAATGAGATTTAATGGTTCGTTTTCCGCATATTTACCGCCGATAACCCGATTTAGCTGACTAATAAATGGCACACACACAATATGCTGTGGAATCCCCATCATAAAACCTGTACAGACATTGAGTAGCATTTTAATAGCTGTAATGGCCATACAAGGTAATTGTGCTAATCCCCAATTATATGACCTAAAGGGCATTTAAATGTTCCCAAAGTATTAAACCCGAATCAAGGGTCCGCTCCCTTTGTTCCCTCCTACGACTGGCACGAGGTTGGCGGCAGATATCATTTATGAGCACCGCCCAGTAAAATTGGAAAAGTGTGGGGTTGTCTAGGGTTATTGTAGAACGATTAGATTCCAAATCACCATCCAACATACTTGGAGGATACTTTTATTGGGTGTTAAAGAGTTCCCTGAGGTCATGTTGTCAAGTGTAACAAGTTTGGCAGTTAAAAGGGCAAAGACGCCTGTAAAGGATTTCTTCTCCCATCACGTCACTAGATTTAACCTATGACGTGGCACGTTCCAGTTAGCGATGCAGCAGCCAGGGTGTGTTTCCCCGAGTATCTTTCATGACATGAGTGAACAACACAAAAGTGGTCGTTTAGCGACAAAATGGTCATGGTTGGAAATGAGTCACTGTGATGAATTTGAAGACGGGTAACGCCCGATATAAAATGTAACACCCAAATAAGAAGCATCAAATGATGGTGTCCTACAAAAGAATGTGAGACAATGGCTAAAAAAAAAAAAAACTCATGGGAATCAGAAATAGTGCCTTGTTAAAAAAAAAAAGTCTCAAGTGATCAACAAGTTGTGTAATTCGAATGCTCCTTGGTTCATTTTTGATGATGTAACATCACAGTTACAGTAACTAAGAACTTGACACACTGCAGCGCAACAGCAGGTAAAGCCAGTTTTACTCGAAGTATGAAAAGAGAAGAAATCCATTGGGAGTTTCTATCTTTTCTAACAATGCACGCGAGTGTGAATTTGTTTAGATAAAAAAACTGCATGGGCTTCAACATTTTATGTCTGTCGCTTAAAATGTCAGCACTGCCTTGAATGACACATGAGAGAAACCACTTCCTGTCCCTTTTGTTTGGCGGGTGGGGAGCTGTGGTTTCAACGTATGACACGCAGGCCACCGGGTCGCATCCACAACTTGGGCAAAGCTATGTGAAGAATGCTTTCTTCAAAAGGGTCCATAAAAGTAAAAGTATGAGAGAGTTGTTTTCCCACACAGTGATCCGATTCACTTGTGGTTGTTGGCGTGCACCAATGCCAAACGTGTAAATTATAATCTGCAGTGATGTTATTTAAATCCAGTTTCCAATAAGCGGTGAAGTTATTTTTAATTCAGTACACTCGTAACTGGGTTTGTCATTGTTAAATTTGCAGAGTATGTTTTGGCTCCGAGTGACCCAGTGGACGAATTGGTTAGCGCGTGGGCCTCACAGTGCAGAGGGGCAGGGTTCGATTCCGGCTCCGGCCTTCCTGTGTGGAGTCTGCATGATCTCCCCGTGCCTGTGTGGGTTTTCTCCGGGTACTCCGGTTTCCTCCCACATGCCCAAAACATGTTTGGTCCTACGTTAGGCCTTTTTGGGTGGTAGTCATATTAGGACATAAAATATGTTGAGCCTTTAAAAGTTACTTCTGTATAGTTTTTTTTTTCTTTTTGCATGTTTATGGGGTTGTTTTTTTAGTATAAAAACATAATTACTGAATACAGCCATGGAGACATTCAACATTTTCTGGGCATAATATCTTGTTCAAGCCATTCTTAATGGAAAGATTTCATCTGATGCCCCCCAAAAAATGTGTGCAGCGCAGTAAACTGATCACGGATGATTGATGAATTCAGGTGGATACAAGTCAAAATATTGAATTATATCGGGTGGCCCAGCTCAGTCATGTCATGGCCCAGAGCCACTGTTACTGAGGAATTTGCACAAGACAGGCCAAAGCTTTCTAGGGCCACGCCGTACTTCATGGAACAACAACATAACAATCGCCTGCAGTTGTGCGTATCTTTCGAAAATCCCCCGCATGCTTCAGCAAGGAACGGAAACCTCGAAATAGAACAAGTGACTGCCCAGCCAACCCTCACCTAGTTTGATGTCCCCATCTAGCATGAGGAGGATGTTTCCGGCCTTCAGGTCTCTATGGATGATCTTAATGCTGTGGAGGTAGGCGAGAGCCTCCAGCATCTGCCGGCAGACCACCTTTATCTGGGGCTCAGTCAGTCCTCGATCCAACTCTGATCAAAGGAAAAGGTGGAAACAAGAAACAAAAACAAGGAAGGATGTCGAGTCAAGTGTTGGACGGATGCCGACTTTGCAAATTCTGATCTTTAGGGAGGCCGATCCAGTGTGTGAATTCCACTCAAGAGAAGATTACCAAAGGTCATGCTGTGACTAAAGCTTCACACAGGTGTCGCTGCGTTGCTAATCCCGGATAAGAGAAAGTGTGTTTAGTTAGCTACAGTGGGGGTATAACATGCAGATATGAGGACATGGATTACACTTGTGAAAACACACGGGGGGTTTTCCCACAGTCGAGGACTTCACTGTGTCTGCTGGCTGGAGCTCTCTCAAGGCCAAATTAGTTTTAAAAGCATTGTGGTCAAAAAACACTGAAAACGTGGCGAGTGTGGACCTGAGCGGTGCAGAGAACAAAAGGGGTGACTTACCTAGCATTGTGGCATCCACAGCTCCTCCCGGACAGAACTCAATCAAAATCTAGGGAAGGAAAAAGGTTCTTTCTTCGTCAAATGTACAAATGATGGTGAATGAATTTCATCAAAAGCTGTGAAACACAAAAAACTTGCCGCATGTTTCATTCATATCTAGCCTGTAACGCAAGGCACCTCAGTTAAGCGGCATCTCAGTTGGGACCACGAGCCGGACTACGTAAAAGGAGTACACAGATAAGGAGTACACAAAGAATAAATAAGTGCAGAAGAAGAACAAATAAGGGTATAAAATAAAAAGGGTTAAAAAGAATGACAAGACTGCTTCTGGAGAACACCACAAGTTATAAAATACAACTGTTATCACACCACTGCTTATTTCTCGACATGCCACGCCAGAGTAGTGTCCCGCCTTCTCCGCTGCGGCTTTCTAATCGGAGCCGTGGCTGTCTTTGCCGGAGCTGAGCAGCAAAGAGCTAAACAAGCCACGTGGTTTTGGAAACTAAAGTAGTATCGGCGTCGTAGTATCAGAATGTTTTTTGGGTTTTTTTCGAGTACAGTACAGACGTATGGCATCGGGACTTGGACTCTCACGATAATTACTCGACATATCAATACCAATGTTCAACATTCGTGAGAATCAAAAGTTAATTGCTTTTAAAGAGGTTGTGCTTGAATGCTCTACGATTGGTATGTCAGTGGAAGTAAAAAAAAAAAAAAAAACAATCACTTATTGTAAAAATCACCCTAAGTCGTCGTGAGAGGCCGAATTGGCACCCGAGACATTTTGTTCTGTATCATCAGCGCATCCTTATGCAAAACTATTGAAGCAATTTAAAGTACATGTGTCCAAAATGTTCCTTTTTCCGCGTTGAGCGGACGCCAAGGAATCAAGACAAAACAATGTAGTCAAAGTGCAAGAATAGACAGAGACTTGAGAGCAGGATTTCGACAAAACTACCCAGGCCGCATATGCAGCATAATAGCAGTTTAACGGCGAAGTCAAAACACAGGCGGAGAGACGAGGAAGAGGAGGAAAAAAAAGAAAACAAGACACTCCCAAAAATGATGTCTTGTTGGCCAACAGTAACCTCGAAAAAGCATCTTTCATTTCCTCTCCTCCCACAGAGTTTCTGACACACATACCGTGTACTATAGGGACAAGAGTAGTGAAATACACTTTTCATTTATCATTCCAGGGTCGGTCTAAGACCCTAAGTCCCACCTCGATATTAATTCCATCAGAGCCTGTGAGTCACTTGGAGGTTAAATTTTACAATGGCGGCTGAAACAATTCAATAGTTGACAGCTATTTATTTATATTTAAATGAAATGTTAATGGGAGAACAAAAAAGCAAATGTGGATCTCTGAGTGTCTCTCTTGACCTTTGATGAGCACCACTTTTTGATGCCAATCCCGTGGTGTGGATACAAAATAACCAAAATGCTCCAATATCTGCGCCATGAGCTCATTGCGTGCATCGCGCCTCGGCATGACTAAACCTTCAAAGCGTAACAATCCGTGAGGGGTGTGGAGTTTCACTATGGACAAAAAAAAAAAAAGTACACGCATGAAAAGGAAGTCGATGCAACGAAGGACGCATGCCTCCAGTCACACACTCCATCATATGAGCACACGGACTGCATAAAAGGTCAAATAGTCCCAAAGAAATCCTGGTTTTAGTATTCCACACTCCAGTGGTTGCAGTATGCAACATCGCTTAAGTTTCACTTATATCTTACCGTGACGGATAAATCATGAGTGTGACGTGTGCTGAGAAGTAATGCATCTTCCATGTTCTAACCGCACTCAGATTATCATTTGACACATGTTTTCGGTGTAGATAGGTGGGGGAGAAGAAAAAAATTGCACTCATATATGGTGCTTGCAGCGGTTCAACATGATGCTGGTGTATGATTGCTGCTAGGATTCTTCTATGTTGCTGTCCCATAATGCAAGACAAATTTCTCCTAAGGGAGACGACTAAAGAGAAACGTTTAACCTTGTACCGAATGATATGACTGGCGGTAAATCTCGAAGACGCAGTTTGGGATTTATGTGTTTTAGTCTCTATAATACTAACATTGAGATTAACGTAGGTCCAATAACTAGGAGTACTACGGCGGCTGTTAAGCCAAAATGGCTAACTCAGCTAAATCAACCCTAAAGGTTGGTCAACACAATTCCGACCTCATAACTTTCTGTGCGGTGTGCATTTGATTCGTTATTGCTGGCCTTAAAAGGCCACGTATGGAATTGCCGGGATTTGGTTTCAGTCTCAACACCAGACTGAGCCAAACCTTGAACAGCTTTCACACTGAAGATCCTGGGGAAGTTGTTGAGTAGCAGTGAAAAGCATGTGCCCTGACTGGCCTAGCAACATTTTCACAATGGGCTGGAACATCACGTACAGTCCACTTGGCAAATTAAACCGATTTACATTTAATGTCAATAAGCATCTACGTATAACTCGAAGAAGCTATTGTCCTTTTTGTTCTCTTCTATTCCATTTTAAGTCATGGTCTAGAAAATCCAAAAAGGTGTAGGCTTTAGCTGACGCAGCAGTGTCCCTTCTTCCTTGTCACGGCTCTGCGATTTTCCCACCGCATGTGCAAGGAGAGCTGTAAAGAATGTAAAACTTCCATCGAAGAGCCGCAAAGTGTCTGCAATCGCCCCTCAAGCCTCAATTGAACTAAGACCACATTCATTGCATGAAGAGTGCTGTCATCTGTGTTTTTCCCTTAAGGTGCATCAGAGGCTGTGCCAGCAAAGACAAAAGATACTGCCTTCAGTTGAGGAACTGCAATGTCATTAAGTCTCCTAGCAACCGCAGCCCTGTGCCACCGTACAGTAGTATGCAAACGGAACAACCAGAAACGCAGACAGTATCACGGGAGCACAATCAAGCAATGCAACCGTCACGATCTGACGTCCAAGTACATGATGAGCAAGTGCTGAATTAAGAACACACCGGACTTTAAATATCATCTCTCAATTATCGGTGTTCACCTCATTGTTGTGGGTATTCTCTTTAATCAATGAAACTAAGTCTCGCAACCACCGGTACATTGTTTTGTTTTGAAGCAAAGAGTCCCAAAAGCGGGAAGAATGAAGTCGATCGTTGTTACCGTACTTTGATTCTATAAGGCGAGTTCCGGCTACACCTAAACATTCTCCTCGGATGCATTACGCTGCCCAAGTGATTATAACTCTCTTCCCTCTTCAATACTTTTAAAACATATTATTATTTAGTTGAAAGGCATTTTTTTTTCTGGAATGGATCTCATGAGTTACTAACATTGTGTTGCGCTAATGATTCCAATGACCTGTTACAGGAATATTTTCAATCACTTTCAGCTATTCCCACTGTCGGGGACTATCAAATCTTTGGCTCTTTAGGGACAAGGATGGCATACATCTGAAAAACAGCTGGAATTTTGATGATGGGCTTGATGATTTCACCGCTACTGTCGGGCAAAGCTACTTGGCAGCCCCTGGAATGTTTCGTCCGCTTTTACAGTCCTTAAAGGGCTTCTTATTAGACAGCTTGATTTTGAAGTTACTGTCACCATTATCCAGTTAATTTAATATACATCCTGTTAAAAGTAAATAAATGTGTTGAACAAGCCTGCAACGACACACTATTGAAAAAGAGAATCTCAAATGACAATGGCTAGCTAATAGCTAGCTACCCCTGTCGCAATTGCATCTGATAAAGCAACTCCTCCCAAAAAAAATTTGGAAAACTGAACTTGTATTATATAGTTGGATGGTCGATCTCTCTCTACCTGTACTTAGAAACAAATCCTTTTCAAGCCCTGTCACTCACTCCTATTCGCTGTCTTAGATGGTCTGGGACTACATACAAAATGAGAATAGGTTCAGGGAGTTTTTGTGTCGTCGATGGAAGCGGTATAGCACACAGACATGCAAATTGGCTTGAGTAGGAAGGCAAGAATGTTTGTTGCACAAACTGTTTCACTGAGTCCAGATCTGACTGTTTGGGAGGGGTCGAGTGGGGGGGTGGATGGGGGGGTGGCTTAGGAATTCCAAGTATGGCCAACAAAAACCATGACAACATGACAATCTCGGGGGCTATGCCACAGCTGTGTTTGTGCGCATGCTGTATTTTAGTGAGAAGTAGCTGCAATTCACTATCTACGATTCAAAACATCGAAACACAGCGGCGATGCGGTTAGCTCGTTTATAAAATGCACTTTTGCAAAAGGAAAACCAGTTTTGTGTTCAAAGCGGACCACCAATGCTATTCATATCATCACATTTGTATTTGAGGGGCGCTACAATTACTATGACAACTATCTCGAGTCTTTTGGCTGGCTAGCAATTCCTAGAATATTCAAGGTCGCAGTACAGCGCCAGGTCATTATTTTCCTTGGCCAGAAGAACCTAGAGATTAAAGAGGGGGGTTTGACAATTCGTACTTAGGGGAAAATAGCTCAAGAGCAGAAAATTACACATTCCTGCAGTAACATCAGGGGCAAGCAAGGGTCACCTCAGATGAATTATGGCACCCAAGGGCTTAGAACTCTCTCTATTGCTGTCCTTCACTTTTAACGGACCAAGTCTCATAGGAGAAATCAAGCTTTTGATGAGATGTTTCCCGAATACAACCAGTCAGCCTCAGAGCAGCGAGAACATCCTGTCAACACGTGTGCTACGTTTTGTTTAGATTTCTATTGTGCTCTATTTGCAAAGAGGAAGGGGGGCAGATTAAGTGTCGGCGTTGCCTACCCAGAGGTGGTTGTTGTAATAGTAGGCGTCCAGAAGCTTGACAATGTAGCGGTGGTCACATTTGGCCAGGATTTCGATCTCCACCATGTAGTCCTCCAGCTCTTCCTCGCATTTGGTTTGGATCACTTTGGCTGCAGCCAGAACGCCAGTCTCCTTATTGCAGGCCTGGTGCACATGACAAAGCACTTTGTATGAGACGAGCTTTAAAAATGCACAATATGAACACGTTTTTGAAAGTGTAAATGTGTCTTATCTTTAGCTTCGGGACGAGTCAGAGAAATAAACATGCTATGGGAAGTTCGAATTATGTCTTGATTAAACTAGAAACACATGGACACGAAGACCACATTGCACTCTCCCAATTGTTTGTGTAATGTGTTCACCATAAAGTTATTCCACAAAATATAAATATGAACAGATTTTTGGATGAAATTGAGGATGAGGAAAAGTTACAAATCAATTTTGATATAACATCTGTATTTATATTCTACAGGTGACTGACAACAAAAAATTCAATGTGCAAACAAGATTTGCTGAGAGGCACATCCCCTCTTAAATTGAAGAGACAACTGAAACACTGTAAAAAAAAGAGTCATTGCATAACTGTGGAATGTTTGGTCACATACGCACAAAAAGGGAAAGAAAAAAAAAAAGGGGGCATCCTGAAAGGTATGCTACGTTATTACTAAAGGTTAGCATCTATGCTATACTTTACTTTCAAGCACAATTATTGTGGCATTGCAGCTACTGCTGAACAAACTATGTCATACCGTAGCTCTGACACGGAAAAGGGCGTGCCTACGTAGAAAAATGACAGAAATTGCTGTCCGTGTGTCACGTCAGACACGTATAGCTGCGTTTGTTTTTTTTTTTTGAACAAACGCACACCAAAAACAACTATGTTTCACACTTTGACACGCTTTAATATATCTTTGTTCGAGTCTGGATTCCATGGAGATAAGAGCAACATGCCGCGACTCAATCTTGCCAGATGTCAGCTTTCGCTTCATCAACTGCTCTGTCATGTTCCAGGGAAACAACCTTGGATGGATTTTGACATTAGGGGGAAAAAAAAAAGCAAAGTATAGTAATCCCTCAAAAACATAAATTGTCATGATTGACGGTACTCAAATGACAATGCTGACCAAGAGGAAAAAAAAAAATCTCAGGGCTTAACGGAGACTTCCCACTTCTTGTTTTTCCTGTTTGGAATTCTCCGACACGTCGAGAGAGCCCTACCTCTAAGCCTGATGACCTCACTCATTGTCTACCACATGGCGCATCTTTTGTCTCGAAACATCTGTCTTCATGCCATCGACTGTTTATCCGCCGGTCTGCACCGCAGTCGGATGTTCTGGCGAAAGCTGCCGTTCGCTACTTTCAGCCAACAAAAGATGCGATGGGGGATACCAAATCAGATGACACCGCGTCCCGCGGGACAGGTTTGCCTTTAAACACATTGGAAATGATTTATGATTCTGAGCAACAAACTCAAATTAGACAAATAAATCGGTTCATCGTCCAGTCCGACTTCTACCTATGACCTCACATGCTTGCTTGCATAATGTGAAGGGCTGTCATCGGGCCAACTCATAAATTTAATGTTATTTATGAGAGAGCCACTTTGTTCTGTTGCACTGGGAGGGTGCACGGAGAGATGTTTTATTTTATTTTATTTTTTTAACCCGGCAGCACAACAGTTCCTCTCTTGCATAACCTGCCAACTGACTCAAAAGCATGAATTAAAGCATTTACAGAAGGGAACTGGGTGTGAAGTACATTACGCAGCGGGGCTTCAACTGCACACCCTTAGAGACGAAACGCAGGTCTTGGCACGAAAGGCTTCATGCAGAAAAACAACATTTTCTAACACACAACGCAGGTTTGGTTAGGTTGGGAAAATAATGGTGTGGCTGACCACATGATGAATCAGACAACAATCCTCCTGAGAGAATGAAGACTATTTATGGTATTAACATTTGGCCAATAAAAGGCAACGAGCACCATAAAACTTTCTAGCAAGGACGCCCATTTGGTCAAAGCCGTGGGAGCACAAGCCAAAAGTGCCGGAAACAAGATGAAATGTGGGGACTCCCCATATGACGAGCCCACACCCAGCATGCAGTTTGCATGCAATTTCTTATCAGTCGCAGCGGGCCGAGCTGGCTCCTGAGATTACAAACAACGCTGCTGATGACCTCACATGCGACGCATCACACATATTTGCGCTATTCTAAATTTGAACATAATCTCAACTAAACTTGGTGTGTGACTTAATAAGAGGAAGTGTCCACTCCCTTGCACTGAGGACACAAGTTGAGTTTCTCTTTCATTTGATGAGAGTTAGCGACGGCTAAGCAAACGCAACTTCAAATTTGGATCGACCTGGAGCCGCAGCACACTTTTACGTGGCAGAACCTCGGAGAGTGGGGGAGGGGGAGGGGGGGCATCACTGACAGCTTGATGGGGCCTAACCTTACACAGGTTGCACGTGTGTATGGAAACACTTCGAGGGACGGAGACAGCAGGGAAATGGACTAAGCAGCACGTGGCTCATTAATTAGTGAGGGGAAACATTTGCAGTTTCACTTGACACCCATGCCTCTCTCCCATGAATGCAAGTTTAAGTTTGAAAGGAAGAAAAACAACCCCCCCCCCAAAAAAAAAAACTGAACAAACCGTAGGCAAGATATAAGTCCCGGGTCCAGAGTTTTTTTTTCCCCGTAATCTTTCTCGAGTGTGGATCAGAAGGAAAAAACTGATTTTTACATGTGCGTGTGGACAGATAGATTTTTTTTCCCATTAATAGTGTAAGAATGGACAGATAGATTAATATACCGTCCAAGTGTGTAAATGGACAACGTGTTTACATTGGAGAGACATTCAAAAGACTCTCTTAGGTAACAATTTTTATAAGGGATATACTCGTCACTAGCGCGGCACGGTGATCGACCGGTTAGCGCCCGTCGGCCTCACGGTGCACTAGTTAAAATGTTAGCGGGAACGAGTTCATTTCACCAATTGAGGCTCCTTTCCTCTCACATAGAAAGTGATAACGTCCGAAAGCTTGTGTGCGCTTCCTCTCTTTGCAATCACATGTTCCTATTGTCCATCTGACGGCTGCAGGTGTTGAACCGTCCTCCTCCTATCCACTCATGCAAAACAAACAGCTGAGACATGTCCTTTTGACAAAGGACAAACACTGTGGGGACGCATGACAACTATGACCTCCTATTCCAATTCACAAAGACCTGCAGGTCAGGAAAACTGAGTGCTGAGAAAGAGAACTTTCTTCACCTATATGAAAGCACCCCTTAACTTTGTGTACTTTTCTTCCTGATACTGTTTATTAAACCTGTAGTTTCTATTCAATATTGACTTCAGCACTGCTCCTTTAACGAAGACTTCTGAAAGGTCAAAGACGCCCACTGTACTCGACTGGGCAGTGCACAGACACTGGCAGCTTGTACAGAAGGAAACTAGTTGGCCAAACACATCAAGATTAAATCGGGTCCAGAGTTCTACTGCTCGTGCCCATAAGGAATGGATCCAAGAGTGCTTTCAATCTCCCCGCAGCTGGATTTACTCGGGATTTCTGAACAAGGAAAGGGCAGGGAGGGTAACTGAATGGGAAATTGATTTGAAAAATGTGCTAAACCCATTGTGTGTGCAACTGCTGTGAACTAGAAACATCAGTGAAACTCGTTGGTCTTGTTTGTTTTGGAAACATCAGGAAAAGGTACAAGCTTGAAGAAGAGTCATGAGCAAAATATGAGTCGCAAGGTGTCATGGAAAACCGAATGAGTTCTTTAAGCGTACAGTGAGTTTGGTGATAACCATAGAAAAATGGTGTGATGTGTTCCAAATAGTATTTTTTTTTCTTTAAGGTAACAAGACAATAAAAAAAAACATTTCTTAGGTGGGGAAAAGGGGAGCATTATTTCGAAGCTGAAAATACCGGAACATCATTTCAAATTGATAGGTCCCAGGCACAACAATTCTGATTTGGGCCAACACTAAATCACACACCTTCATACCACTTTTGAACTTCCCCTGATTATTTGTTACTCACACGCATGCATTATTCACTGACAATGAAAAGGAAAACATGAACGCTTCGACAGCCAAAAAAGTTCTGGATCCACATCAAAAATTCGACTGATTCTTCCTTGGCTGACAAGTCACCTCTTCACAAAATATATTCATTGCAGCTTTGGAATACAGTAATGTTGCTTCGTAATACATCATCTAAGAGATTAATTCTGTCAATTATGCGGTCGCAATATCATCAAGAAATAGCCAAGTGGTTGCGCCCCCTCTCAGAAACACTTAATGGGCTGTGTAGTCTCCAAAAATGTCATTGAGTCACAAGACAGGTGTCAAGGGTTCACCCAAACAGTCCAATGACGTACTCAAATGTTTTTCACAGAAATAAAGACAACGTTTTCAAAATGCCCAAAACAATGTCTCACTACATTTGCGGGGTTGACACATTACCTTGTAGACTTTTCCAAACGCGCCATCGCCCAGTTCGCCCACAATATCCCAATAGTCGCTTGGATTGATGTCCCGGTGGACGTGCTCGTATTGTTTGGTTTTCTTTTTGATATCAAGAGTGGGCAGGCGAAGTATTTTGCTGAATCTGGCCAGCGCCATTCTTCAAAGGATCCCTTCAAATTCAATTAAAAAAAGTTCAACACGGATCGAGTTACGCACGCGGTTTGTGCACTGCCCATCAAAAAAATGTCACAAAGTCACGTATGTCTTCTTTGCCTTCAAAGGGTTATTCCACAGTGTCCATGTTAACAAGGCGCTATGTGGGTGGCGAGGGTAAAACCTCACGCATTTTCATTCATCCGCGTTGGCCACCTGCAGCAGTTCAAAGCTTGGGGTAGTCGCAGCAGCTCTACTGGCCCCAGCCAACTTGTTGCCTCTCAACAAGTTGAGAGAGCGGCCCCACCTTACGTCAACCACACGCAACACTCCGCCCACTGTTGTTAGGGAAATGTAGTTTTTTTGTAGGACAGTCGTCGTCCGATTGAACGCCCTTGGAGGGTGAAAGGGGACTTCATTTCCGGTTTTGGAGGGCGCAGCGTTATTTTGGACGGCGGCTTTCGAAGAACAACAATGTTCTTGCTTTAATTAGCCCAGAATGGATAAATGGAGCGTTTCTGAAGTCTCTTATCTCTTACGATGCCAATTTGATGGAAGCATATTATCTAAATTCTGGTTATTTACTGGACAAAATTGTGCTGTATTGTTAAAGGCGAGCACAAACTTATTTTGTGTACAAATAGTACTTTAGCGACCTCTAGTGTTATATTGGGGTCATGAACACTCAATTTGGATTTATGTCTCCTGATGTATTTTGCTTATTACTGTACCTGTACCAACAACACGGCTGCGAACAAAAGAGGCTTTACTTTACAAAAGCAGGGTGGTGTTGTGAAGTTAGCTATTTGGTATCTATATCTGGTGACTTTTTTTTTCGGAGATGTTGCAATCATTTTTATTTTGAAAGTGACACATTTCTATTTGCATTGTTTTACTTGTGACAAGAAAGGAAATCTGGAGAACATAATGCTCTCACTCTGCAACCCACAACTTCCTGTTGATGCGAAGTCATGACGCACTTTTCAAGAAATTACAGTATGAACAAAACATAAATAGCTTCAAAAATGCATCTGCAGCATACAGTATGGCATTTTTTAAAACTCTGTTTCAAGTGAATTTGACTCTGCCGCCAAAAGCATATTGCTAGCTATGACAACCGCTCGTCAAAGGCTGAGCTGCACTATGTTTGTTTAATTAAAATCAGAGAACAGCTTTATTGTCATTGTACCGCAGGGGGCAACTATATGGAACACATATAACCATCCAAGAGACACAGCAAAACAATGACGGTCAAGGGGATACAGAATGGGAGATCGCAAAAAACAACAACCCCAGACTGAGGTTCTGTAAGGGGAGCACAGTATGGATTTGGAAACAAATCTATCAGAAAGCAGGCTTACGTTAGTACAGAACACAGGCTAGCACGTGAGGAGGTGGGGTGGGGAGCGTCGGGTGGGAACTTTACAGCCCTCCTGCAGAGGGCAGGCTTCTTTGCCATCAGGCGCCACCACATCCGTTTCTGCAGTTGTGCCATAATAGAGGAAAGGAGAGTGTATTGCTTTTATTTATTTATCTCTCATCTGTGAAGCAGATATGCCAACCACTAGTGCCCCATGCTCTGCCCCAGCCACTATATGAGGAACGAGGAACGTATGTTGGCAGTTTCCCCAAAACTATACAAAATTCCCCACAGCAATCTTTCCCAGACAGCAGGAAATCACCATAAGGAGGAGAGGAGGATCAAACAACTGCAAAGTCACGAATATTTGTCATAAGCCGGATCATAAACCCTGTTTAATGAGCCATTAAACAGCAGCCACACTGCTTCCTGTTTCATGTTACACTGCACCTCCTCACCCTACAGTTCATATTGTCTAATCGTTTGTTTTAAAAAGACAAGCAAACCGTGCATCGTCCCCCAGATGAGTGTTCCCACTGCGTGACAAAATATTATTTTCACACAACGTGATCCTTGAGAAAGCTGTCAACACATCTCGTTTTGTGGTTGTCGCAAAGCGAGCAGCAGGTGTGTTGCCGTTGGCTTTTGTCACAACTGGTTAACACCTCTCATTATTTCTCTTACTCGCCAGGCAGCTGAGACACACAACGGATGAGTCATCAGATGCAGAGTGTGACACTATATGGCCAAAAGTATTGGGTCATTACACATGGATACAATTGGACATGAAGGAAAGTAAATTGCTCCCAGATTGCATGATGAACCTTGATGGAACGCAAACGGGCCTTCCCTTACCTTTTCTATCAGCATGCAATTGCCCAAAAACTGTACAGGATATTTCATACACCATGCTGGATTTGAATCAGGTTGGGAGTTTCATAGCCAAGGTGATTAATATGCTTAATGGAATATGAATTACTCACACGAGAGCTATTAGCAAAAACAATCCCACACGGCCAATCAATGCTAAAACGTGGGTTCATGTTGTATCGTTTTCCTATCAATAGAGGGAGCCACTTTCACATACTGTACATTCTGAGTCCAGCACTATGCTGATGCTCTGCAAAAAAATAAAAAATAAAAAAAGTCCTCCTAATCCAATCAAGATTTGAACTGTGACCGACCTTCCACTTTCCTCCACTTGCAGGGAGACAAATAGAGTTTCAAAACAAGCCCAGCCTGCTGAGGCAGCTGAGTAGCCTGACACTTTTTTTTCTGTCCAGGTGATATAAAGCACGTCCTTGTCCATGTCTCTAAAATAGTGTGTCCAAATGTTTGCGGAATGACTGGCCTGGTACTCATGTGAAGTGGTCATTACATTAATCGTATGCGGAGGATGGACCACCCAACCGAAGATGTCTCAAAGAGTGTTTTGGAAGGACTACGAAGTTGGTGACAATAAGCGCGTCTATCATTCCATTTTCTGACCACTCAACCCTGACTTGTGTAGACTTTTGATTTCTCACAGGTGACACTCTTAACTTAGTGGTTAATAATGTATTGTATTATTAATTATAGTTACCAGGAATGAGATAAATAGTCAGTGCAGTGGTGCTGTAGTGAGCTGTCAAACTCCGCACATGCAGAGGCAGGTTAGACCTTGTGTTGGTATTTTCGCAGGCAAACGTAAACGAGCACAGTACGGCACATGTAAAAAAGGCCATTTTGATCTGTTACAGGTGTAAACATATAGCCGACTTGATTCGCTGCCAATCGAAGTGACTGACTCCTGTCATTCCCTTCAAATGACACGCGACAGGTGCAATAGTCCTTGACGAGGCGGAAGATGAAACCTATTTGTTTGAGTCCGGCGATAGGTAAAAAATATATCTATAATGTATCTATCAGGAACTGCAAGTCCATTTAAATTATGTAATGAAGGTGCAACCTACCGACCAAAGTAACCATTTATGTTTTCCAAGCATCTAAAAGTTCCAGGTATTTTTTTGACCCTATGATACTCAAGTAATGTTAACTTTTAGACTCAAAAGTATTTTTTTTCTACATTTGGGTAGAGGTGAAGTGGTACAGGTGGGGTGCTTTGGACAGGAATGTCCAAAGATGTTACAAAGTCCGCGTTGCAAAAATCAGTCCATCTGAGGGTGGCGAGCCGTTATGAAGCCCATTCTTCGAGGTTGCATGAGTAACATCTGCTCGTCAGCCGGCGTCACAGCTCCACGGTGATGAGCAGGCGAGCGTGTGTGCGCGCCGCCCGAGACGCGTGGCCACGGTGGCGATAAGCACACACCACACAGGCGGCAGCGTGGAGGTCAGTCACTCCTTTTTTTTTTTTTTTTTTTTTTCCAAAAAACAGGGCCACCGTCCTCCG